GCAAAGTTCTCTTGTACGGATTTCCCTCTGTCGTCAACTGCAAATCCTCGATTGCACTTCCCCACTTAACCAACTCCGCTTCCCCATACGCCGTTTGCATTATGGCGAGGCCGAAACCCATTCCAGTGCTAGAGCGAACACCGGCCGGGAGAGTTATCATGGGGTATCCCGCCTGGGCAGCGATTTGATACGTCTGGCCGACGTCAGGAGGGACTAAAAGTCCAGCCAGTTTTGTCCCATTAGGAGAGGTGAGGGCATCATTAATACCATTCCGCGTTGACTGCTGAGAGAACTCGATAGCTTGAAGATAGGTCTTATCCTTGATACCTTTCGACTCGAGAGACGCCAAAAACCCGTCTTGGCCAGAGTAAAATGCGGCCGTCCCAAGTGGCCAAGGATGACCACCCTCGGTTCCGTCATTGTCATAGTTGAATGCAATGATGTCTTCAAAAGTCTTGATGTCGGTATTTTCCAGCTCCGAAAGGTAGGTGTTGATGTTGTTGTAAAAGTCAACTTTAACGACCGTGTACTCGGACTCGTTCGGGTAGCCTCTTGTGGTGCCATAATCCCAGTCCCAACCATCCGGGCTAACGATGGTCTCATAATCAGTGATCTCAGTGTTGTTAATTATCGTTGCCCCAGCTGAGGTAATGAGCTTGAGTAATTGCTCTAGAGACTCCCTCTGTTCATCGTCTGCGAGAGCCCAGAAACTGTTCCAGGGAAGTCCGAAGGTGGCGCCCTTCAGGATCTCCTTCGTAGACAGGAACTGAGTGTAGCCCCCCTCAGGCGTCTTCCCTTCCTGGGCCAGTGTGTAGTTGTCTCGCTCATCAATGCCATAGATTGCATCGAAGGCATACACGGCATCTCTGACTGTGCGTCCGAAGGTTCCGACAGAATCTTGATGCTCACTCTCAGGAACGACCCTAAAGTCGAGTTAGCAAGGTTCTGGAGGGAGAAGCCCATGGACTCAACATACCCAGCTCTAGAAGTTAGACCAACTGTGGGCTTAAATCCCACAATGGCGTTTCGCTCGGCAGGATTGATGACACTGCCATCTGTCTCCGTGCCCAGCGAGAAAGCAATGGCATTTGCTGCGACGCCAACAGCGCTTCCCGTGCTACTACCGCCCGGGTTAAGTGTGAAGTTATATGGGCTTCGGCACTGACCGCCCCGAGCCGAAAATCCTTCAGAATAGTTGTTGCTGCGCATGTCAGCCCACTCACTCAGAGCAGCCTTGCCAAACAAGATGGCGCCGGCTTCGCGGAGGCGCTTGACCACGTGAGCATCTCGGGGGACGATGCTGCCCAAAAGCGCAAAGCTACCTGCTGTCGTCTCCATGTTGTCCTTGGAGGCGATGTTGTCCTTGACGGTGAATGGGATGCCATGTAGTGGCCCCCGTATCTTTCCGGCTTTGCGTTCCAAGTACATCTTGGCGGCTAGCTGGAAGACATCTGGGTTGATTTGCAGAATAGAGCTGTCTTGCGCATTAGTTTACATCGACTCATATTATGGTAAACCGTTGTCTTCGCAGATACAACTCCCACGTGTAAGCTAAAGTAATTTACTTACTGAATATACTCCTGCGTCCGGTAGGTTCTTTGGATATAACAACCGACTAGCTGCTGAGAGGTGAGTGTCCCAGCAGCCAATGCTGCTTGCATCTCGTCAATTGTCGCCTCTTCCAACTTGAAAGTTCCACAGAGTGGCATCGGGAATAAGTCTGCAGATCCCACATCTTCAAGCAGCGGGAATACCGAAGGTAGGGTTGTCGATGAGTTTCCAGGCCAGCTTTGAGAGGTGCTCAGCTTGCAGCTAGCCAAGGAGATCTCAATCCCCGCCACAATGGCAACCCAGAGTTGCGCCTTGTACATCTTCGTCACTGATTACTGCGCTACCTCAAGCGATATGCAGAATGCAAGTCACGAGCTGGACAGGCAGAAGACCGGCTGGGGACATGAGGATGTGGCCAGGCACGCATAGCCACAGAGTCGGTGTACCCTATTGCAGCTTTTAAAGCCTCACATCTCAGCTGATAAGCTGACGTGCTGCGTGCAACTCTGCCCCGCCCCGAGATGCCGATCCGGGTTTGCCAGATTGCGGCGGGGCGCAGGTGTTGTCGATGGTTGGCTGCATCTTCTTGGGGGCTGAGATACTGATAGGAGATGATAGGAGAGTTGCGGTGCGCAAAAGCAAGCCTGGGTGCGACTAGTCTTGCGGGGATTGAACGGGGTTTCCGGGACGACTCGGTCAGTGATTATGAGGTGCTACAGTAAACAAATGGTTTGCGCCATGTCGCTTGGTGAGCCTCCGTTCCTGTACCTACCTTAGTATGGTTAACTGTTGGAGTGAGGTGTCAAAAGTCAAGTCGATGAAGGACTTAGTTGTCACACGCAATGCGGATGAAAACAGTGCCGTGTTCACTGCCGCTTCTTGACAAACGTAGCCGAACGTGAGTTTCAGCATTTGTTTGAACCATCGACAGATTTTGGAAACTACAGGTAATCGAATAGAACGAAGCAAATACAGTAGGGCAGTGACAACAACTTTTGTAGTCAAATGATATTTACGAATATATGTGTCATCCATTTTTATTGCTTCAAAGTCTCTTCGATCTCCAAAATATTTTTACCAAATATGAGACGAGGGTGACAATTCTCCAAAACGTAGAACTTATGGCGTGTGGTAGGCGATTGAGAACCAAGCATAGAGTTATGGTACATTATGAAATACACTATGCCGATACATGGCTGACTTTTCCCTGAGTCAAATTTGAACTCAATCTCTTGGTCTTCTTGGCACGGAACCAAGCTCGCACCAACTCTCTCGGCTTCAAGAATTGAGATGACGTTGACTTCGAGAGTGGTATTAACGACGCCAGTCAAGACTTTGCCAGAAGGCTTACCATTGCGCGATACAAGAGAGCGAACAATCGACTTATAGGAATTGGCAGTGTTCACTGCATGCACAATGGGTGTCTTGGGCAGAGTGCCAACTTGTTGGGGTTGAAGTTGCGATGCGTGGACGGATCTAGCTTCCATGTCCCGGGTGTTCGAACTTGCACCGCTTCCATAATCGACATCGCGCAAAGTAGCCGGCGGGCCTGTTGGCGATGATGGCGTAGTCTTAGCCGACAATGAACGGTTGCGTGAAAGTCTCTCATGTTGGAGGCGGCGTTCGAGCTTGTACTGGGCCTCGTGATCATAATGGCATGCCTCCTTTTGGGAGTCTGCTCCACGTGAAGGAGCTGAAGACACTGATGGCATGGACCTGCCCGCTGAGGACGATTCATATGTCTGTGGCCGTGCCGTTAATCTTTGAGTTAAGTTTACTTTGGACGTGGAAAATTACCTCCTTGGTCCTAGTAGATGACTCTGACGGCGTTGCTGAGACGAACTTGGGCTTCGGAACACTCCCGGTTTTCACCATACTTCTTCCCAAGGGTAATAAAATCTCGTAGAGAGAGCTGGCGGACTGTGTTTGATGTACTAAAGGGCCCATTGGCATGAATTGGTTGACTCTTGCAATTTGGGATTCCAGTCTTTTCAGGGTTTCCAAATTATCTCTAATGGACTTTTTCAGTCGCCGGCTGTCTTGGAGTCAGTTCAGATCATAGCTGATGACTCCAGGAGAAACTCCTGCCTTTGTGAAAACGTACATGTGCTTTTCATTGAATATCAACTTTTCACGGTCCGAGAGTGAATTGTTGCATTCCATATCGAGAACCTCAAGTTGAGTGGCTGACATAAGTAGCAGGAGGCTGACTTTTAAAGAGTCCATTTCTGGGAACAGATCTAGGATACTGTCCTTTTGATAATACCACTTGAAAATTTTGAATATGGCATTTCCGCCCACAAGACGTGTCTGGACTCGTTTGGTCGCCTTCTCAAGCCGCAATTCCATTACTTCTGACCGATCTAGTATGCCGTGGAGTATTCCTTTGGACACGATATATTGAAGAAGAGGAGACTCGGTATATTTTCTGAAATGTCCTTCGAGAGAGAATTGGGTCATGGCGATACAATTCGAAAAGTCCTGTGCTCGGGAGGCACATCGCTCAACTTCTTTCCCTGGAGAACTATTCTCGTCCGATAACTGGCGTAAAGCCTTTGCGAGCTTTCTTCCATAAAGAGCGAGTTGAATAAGCGCTGATACACTAGCTACTACCCCAAGGATCTCGGCCATCTCAAGTGAGCTGCAAATGTTTGGAGTAAAAAGGATTTAGACGATGTTTGGGATGAACAGATAGCCACGTAATCACAATTTTCCAAGCATAGAGAAAAGGCAGGAGCAGTAGCGATCTAATATCCTCCAAAGTAGTCCTCCCCGGAGTGAATGTAGGCTTGAACAGCAGACCCCGCACGGGGTCTTCTGCATAGCAACTTATGCTGTAAGAGGCCAACGGCAGCAGGGAAAGTGAGGCTTGCCTCTCCAAAAGCCACCCTTGGGCGGAACGATGGGCTCTCTATCTCGGTGCATGCTGTGCCCCAACATGCCAATCGCATGTTTCCCTGAGAATGCAAACTGCACGTGAAGCACCCTCTCATGCTGCATTAATCACATCATTGCTACTCTGGGAATTAGGCTACGCACCCGAGTGCATATTTCGGTGTCTTGACTGGTGAAAACCTCCGTCTCGACTGTGCGCCACCAACCTAGACGCAATAACTCGACGCAGGGTACTTCTTCGAGTCGGCGGTGAAGTGGCAAAGGGGGTCGGAATGGCGGTCGCCAGCGGTGCGATGCACATCGTACTTGCACCCCCCAGCCGAACGGCGCGGGACCGGCGTCACTCCACTTCTCCGTGTCCCGACCGGGACGTTCGGGTTCGGATTCGGGCCCAGTGGAGCCTGTGCATCCGGTAGGTAATAGTGGTGTCGCCGTGCTGAAACCAAGAAGAAGACAGAAATCCAGTGCGCTACGCGATGACTAATGTACAGTCGAATATCAACTTTAGTGATGTCATGGATCAGTAAACAGTTCGTGCCAATATGATCAGCTCGCCTGAACAAACTCCCTTCTTTTGACCTTTTATCCTCCAGATTTGTGTTCAAAGAATCTCCCTCGCTGGAAACGCCATGACATACTCACGAGTTGGTGTGGTGACCGGTGCCAACAAGGGCATCGGATTTGCCGTTGGTAGGATCTCATCCCACCCCGGAATCGCGTCATTTCAACTGACTTTTTACTCTCTCACCAGTCCGACAGCTCGCGCTGCAATATCCCAATTCCTATCTAAACAATGGCTCGCTGCTCATCTATCTAACTGCGCGCGACAAGTCTCGCGGTGAGCAAGCACTCAGCAAGATTCAAGGCGACGCGGATCTCAAGCAGGCCAAGGCCCTGTCTACCCACGGTGGCGCGGCGGACATCAAGTACCACCAGCTTGACATCTCAGATTCATCCAGCATCTCGAACCTCGCATCATTTCTGAAAAAGGAACATCCCGATGGCGTTGACTTCATCATCAACAACGCTGGCATTGCCATGCAAGGTTTTGGTAAGCGCAATATTTGAGTGCTGCGGCGGTTCGACACGAAGGCTGACTTTCCGTGCACCAGACTCGAACGTGGTGAAAAATACTCTAGCATGCAACTACTACGGTACACTCGAAGCGACACGCGCCTGGATCCCGGTAATGAAGCCAGATGGTCGCATCGTGAACGTCGCATCGGTGTCAGGGTCTCTGAGCAAGTACTCGCCAGAAATTAAGCAGCGCTTTCTCGACGCGCAGTCTGTGTCGGACGTCACCGAGCTGATGGAGGACTTCACCGCCGCGGTCGAGAAGGGCACGCACGAGAAGCAAGGTTGGCCCAGCGCCGCGTACGCGGTCTCCAAAGCTGGCGAAATTGGCATGACCAAAGCCATCGCCAAGGAGTTGCAGGACAAGGGAAGCAAGATGCTCGTCAACTCGTGCCATCCCGGGTACGTGGTCACGGATATGACGCGAGGCGGCGGCACCAAGACACCTGACGAGGGTGCGCAGACACCTGTGCATCTGGCGATTGCAGATATTGGTGGCAAAACTGGAGAGTACTGGTCTGATGAGAAGGTCGCCAGGTGGTGAGCTTTTTAGCGGAACATGCCCAAACTGAGCAATATGACGAAGAGGACGCAGGGCTAGTTGACAATGGCAAAAATGAAGCCTGGCTGACGATTGTGGTCGAGGCAAAAACAAATGAGGTCCATCCAGGATTCGAACCTGGGCCTACGGAAGGTTCTGAGAATCAGAATCCGACGTCCTAACCAACTAGACTAATAGACCATTGTGATTGGTGCTTGTTGCTGAAGGTTGGAATCGCGGGTCGTACTATAGAGTAGAGCCCCAAGCGCGTCGAAAACCTTCTTTCGCGTCTCAAGGCTGCTCCAGACACATCGCTCATCGAGTCTTCGAAAGTGCGATAACAACCCGATGTAGTGTGAATCTAGTGCACCAGGCTGCCGTTCCATTGTTTGCGCATGGTAATTGCTGGAGTTGCAAACACCTGAGAAAATCAGAAGTAAGCGTAGTCACTGCGCTGGTTTTGGTCGATTTCCTAGGAGCGCTGGATGCCATATCGCCGCGCAAAACCACATATTCGTGTATTGAAAAGGAACTTACTTTTGAGCGAAGGTCTCTTCCGAAGCGTGTACTTTGTATTTACTCTTTATCGAAAGGCTTGAGAGCATGTGAAAATGGATGTGGTCTGGAAATTTCGGGAGGGTCCCGATTGTGGAACTAGGAGGAATTCTCCCCGAGGAATTGCGGCTTCTAGGGAAGAATTCTAACTAGGTAGGTTTAAGGGCAATGAATGCAGCGGTTCTAGGCACTGGGGCGCCGCCAAAAACCTGAAGGTTCACGGCGCGGCGCGCGTTCCTGCGCCAGACGACGCTATGTGCCCACACCTGCTTATAGAGTATTTATGTACTATCGAACGTCAACGATTGAGCGAGCCGTTGAGTATCGACGAATGGTACCGAAATGTGATTCCGTTCCGAGGTTCTGGGTGGATGTAGTGAGCGCGACCCGGCCGAGGTCTAGGAGGAACAAAAAGACGGTCCGAGTCAACAAGGCCTCATTTAATTTCTCGCCAAACTCAATCCAATAGGGTCACCAGTACTCCGTCGCTTACTTCCATTTGACCATTCGGACTTGGACCAATGATAGCATCAGTCTCACCTTGAGCATCTCAAATTCGTGGATACGTTACCTTCCTGGAGGCCAAGACTTTAAAGGCGGCGCGGAGACACTACTGTGTGGGCATGTCGTCGACGCTGTGAACAATGGGCTCATCCATCTTTCGCCCACCCAATGAGAGACGCTCTAGAGCAGTTGACGAGTTATCATTGCTTGATAGCGTGACGTAGAAGTTTAGCCTGCCAAGGGATCCTGACCGGCTCTCGACGGCAAATTGGCATAGCAGTTGGCAAAGCAATTGGCTTCATGTTTCTGCCAAGATGCCAAGAGGCACAATCAAAAACTTACGGTAACGCAATCGGGGAATGGGAATGGGATTCTTCCTGGGTACTGCTAGAGGCGCAGACAACTCGACCAGCCACCTGCGCAATCACAGAGCAGGCCTTTCCGTCTCCCGCGGGGTGCTTGACGTGATGTGAGCAGCAAATGAAGCTTCTTTGCCCCCGAAAGCCAAGTCGCCAATGCGCCTAGCCATCCCGCGATGAAGCAGTTCTTGTCCCCGGCCAGCCTCATTGCTTGTCGCTAATGCCCAAAAGCTTCGCTCTGCCTTGGCTCAAGGGGTCCATCGCAACATTGCTCAATCATATTTCGCCAGAGCCCAGGACCAGGTATGTGGTTCAAATAAACCGGGCCTGCTATCCATGCGGCGAACGGCAGCTGGAACGGCGCCTTCACCCACACGAAGCACGCAATGGGCAGCCAATCGTCGAGCGAAAGTCTCATCTTCAGTTGGTATGAAAATGCCTCGTTCTTCTTGTCGAAAGGTCGTACTACTCTTTCCATACGCAGCGCAAGCCACGCTGCTAGGCGGCGTGGGATGGAACATGGACCGGACACACCGATGCCAAGCTGCTGGGACGCGCCGACGAATGGTCTCGAACTGCTGTCAGCAGTCAATGGCATTCAAGAAAGCCCCGGTCCAGATAGACCGAGAGCTATCGGTATGTCACTGGCAGCGATGTGCATCCTGCAGAGGACCAGACACCTGCAGCTGACCCAACATGGTGGGCACTCCGTCACCGAATCTCTCATTCTGCTTCTCCCGCCTGTAAATGTTTGGGCGACCATGCTTGATAGTAGTGTGGGAGACCACAGCACCAACCAACGACGCAGGCAATGTGACCATCGCACAACGAGCGGCGTCTCTGAAGACTCAAACTACCTACGCGAAGGGGTTTGATAAGGCGCCCTATTTTCTCTACCGCGTCATCAAGCATCATGGTACTCCGTACAGATAGATACGTTCCCCCAGGTACCCCTCTCATCAGTGTTGGTGGGTGAACCTTGTCGACTCTCGAGCTCTGGCCAGTCTTTGCCCGCGCTACAGATTCGCTTTCAGGGACCGACAACTTGCCGGGACTTGGAAACATTTCCCTCTGAGTCTAATTAGAGCAGCCATTCCAAGAGACGTGAGTTCTGACTACTGATCCAGTAGAAGAACTAAGTATTGTCTTCACTACAGATAGCTACATCGGCCACGGCCTCTCAAATGGAGATACAATGACCCGTCTGGCATGAACTCCGAGGATAGGAAAAGAGAGGGAACGATCCCCAGAAGAAACAAGCTGGACCGCCCCCATCTTCCTCAATCCCCCGGTCGCCGCCTCCTCACTACGCCCTCATACCTCTTCGGGCCCATCCCGCGTTGGGCATGGTTCGCACAGAGACATCCACTCTCCTGCAGACCTCCCTCTTGCAGTCCTTCACCCCTCAGTCTCACCCCACTGCTCCCGGCTCTCTGTCCGCTGCGACGCTGCAGTGTAATTGCTGCGGTCCCTGATCTTTGGAAATTCTTGAAAAGGATCTGCGGTCGCAGTGTTGGTCGCGCCGAAGAGCTCTCTCGGTGTCTTCTCGCTCTTCTTCCTCTTCTGCTACGTGCGGCTTTTCCTAACATACTTGTTCCAACGCGAAGAGCAAAAATCACATTAGACCCCGAGACATCGACTGGTGCTTGTGTGCAGTGTGAAACCCTCATGGAATTCAAAGTCCAATTCTTCTGCCTTCTTCTCAAAGCTCTTTGGTAATTCGAAGTTCACATAACCGTGACTTCTCCAAGGCTACAAATCAATTCCAAGATCATCAACTTCGCTCAACCCGTCACGAGCGCGCATCCGGACTGTCTATCACCCCCCTCTCCTCCGTTCACTCTTCCGATTCGACTCGAAACGAGGCCGCGCCGAGATCCCCCACTAAACCGGGCCTAATCCCCCACATTTTTCCCCTCGCCCCGACCGACCGACCATGTCATCCACCGGCATTGAGCGAGCGGGACACCGCGACGGCCTTCCGAATTATGGAGGCGGCTACTCCGAACATGGCCGTTTCCCCGATGAGAAGGGCGTTGGCGAGCCATATGGCGAACCCTTAGACGGCGGCTTTCGGTCTTCGCTCGATTCTGGCGACAAGGGAGACCATACCCACCGCAAGCTCAAGTCGCGACACATTCAGCTGATTGGCATTGGCGGAACAACTGGTAGGCCCTTGGACATGATATCCAGAGATGAATCCAACTCACAGTGTGTACAGGAACCGCTCTTTACGTACGTCGCCTTGTAGCACGAGTCGATAGGAAATCACATCTCATATCAGGTACTCACACAAACATAGGTACAAATCGGAAGAGGCTTGCTCAATGGCGGCCCCGCCAGCTTATTCCTCGCCTTCACCATCTGGTGTACTTTCATCCTAGCCGTGACTCTAAGCATGGCCGAGATGGTCACCTATCTCCCGATTTCGAGTCCCTTTATCCGCTTCGCGGGTCGCTACGTCGATGAGGCATTTGGTTTCGCTGCCGGTTGGAACTTTTTCGTTTTTGAAGCCGCTCTCGTCCCTTTTGAGGTCGTCGCCTGTAACCTCATCATCCACTTTTGGAGCGACGTCGTACCCGCTGGAGGCATCATTGCGATCATTCTCGTCCTGTATGGTATTATCAATGTCATGGCGGTGCAGTGGTACGGCGAGACTGAGTTCTGGGCTGCGCTTGGCAAGTTCTTGCTCATCGTGGGACTCATCATTTTCACGTTCATCGTCATGCTGGGAGGTACGCTACTTCAAGTGCACCGTCGACCCGTATCTAGATCAGACACTAACAGGGCTATAGGAAATCCGCTTGGAGACAGATTCGGCTTCCGGTGAGCAATTACATCTACTCTCTCCCATAAGCCACGTCCTCTGACCGAATTGATCCATCTAGGTACTGGTACGAACCAGGCGCATTCACAGAGCTCTACTACAGCGGCTCCCTCGGACGCTTCCTCGGCTTCCTACAATGCTTGATCCAGGCTTCCTTTACCATCGCAGGACCCGACTACGTCGCCATGGCTGCCGGCGAGGCCGAGAACCCGCGCAAAGTTATGCCCCGCGCCTTCAACGCAGTCTTCTACCGCCTGACCGCCTTCTTCGTCCTCGGTTCCCTCTGCGTCGGCATCCTCGTCCCCTACAACGACGAAGAGCTTACCCGTGCCTTCAAGGACGGTGAACCCGGCGCCTCGGCCTCACCATACGTTGTCGCCATGAATCGCCTCAAGATCAGCGGCCTGCCACACATCGTCAATGCCATGGTCCTCACGGCCGCCTTCTCTGCGGGCAACTCGTACGTCTACTGCGCCTCGCGATCACTGTACGGGTTGGCGCTTGAGGGCAAGGCGCCCGCATTTTTCAAGAAGTGCACGAAGAAGGGTGTTCCGGTCTACTGCGTCATCGCCGTCCTGCTCATCGGCCTGCTCAGCTTTCTGCAACTCAGTGCCAACACTGCTGTTGTGCTGAACTGGTTTGTGAGCTTGGTCACCGCGTCGCAATTGATCAACTTCTCCTGCATGTGCACGGCGTATCTTGGGTTCTATCGTGCGCTCAAGGCCCAAGGCATCAGTCGCGATACCCTTCCCTACAAGGCTTGGTTCCAGCCGTACGCTGCCTGGTACGGTCTCATCGGCACCTTCATCATGACGTTCGTCGGAGGTTACACCGTTTTTCTGCCTTTGGATGGATACTGGAGTATCCCTGATTTCCTCTTCTCGTAAGCCAATCATTGTCTTTAGCTGGTCTGCATGATGTGGTATACTGAGAAGCACGAGGTACACGATGGTCGGCATCTTCCCTGTGCTGTACCTGGGCTGGAAATTCCTCAAGAAGACTAAGATCTTCAAGCCTGAAGAGGTCGATCTGTACCGTAACAAGGATGAGATTGACGAGTACGAGAGGACGTTCGTGCCTACTCCTGCCAAGTGAGTTGACAATCTTATCCGATAATCAACAAGCGGTTCTAACGGGCACAACCAGGAACGTCTTTGAAAAGGTTCTAGACAAGCTATTTGGGTAGAATTGTGTTGACATAGCCGTCCATTGTATCATCGGCGTTTAGGGTGAAAGAAATAGATATCCCATAGGCAGAAACACAACTAAGGATTATTCCAATTAAAAGACTTAAGACTACGTCTCTCAACGCCGATTTTATGTCGATGTGTTACATTTTGAATCCATCTGCATCTTCGTCCAAGACATTGTATGATCACTGCTGCCTGCAACGGGACGGAAAGGATTGCGGCAAAGCGGACGTTTTCCTCAAATTGGACAATCCCCGCCCCTATGTAAGTAAGTCAACGTTGGATGACGGGATTTTATCTTTGCGTGGCTGTTTGAGGTAATTTCAGCACTCAAAGACAACAACCACTTACATCCAAGATGGCGGGGTCCCAAAACCTGGATCCTGACTTTGGAAGTCTTGGAACCAGAGAGGAGGATTGGCTCGATGTCGATGGAGACCTTGATACAGAGGAGGGCACCGAGGCCATGCGCCGCGCCGAAGTAGCCCTACACGCGACGATCGAGCGCTCCATCTTTCAGCGAGACGCACAATCGGCCCACGGCGATATTCCAAGGGCCCTCTACATTAAGGCCCAAAACCAACAGGAACAGCTCACAAACGACGAGCGGCGGCTCCTCCTCAGCCGCGGCGATGTCGTGGGCAAGGCACTCGCTCGTCCTAACTTCCTCTCAATAGATGAGATGCACCAAGCGCTCCTCTGGCCACCGCCAGACGTGGTGCGCGCCAACATTCAACGCGCCACGAGCGGGCAGCTCAGCACGCCCATCGAGCTTTATGCCAAGGGGAAGGATGCGCTAGATCGCGGCCAATTCAGCAGGATGTTGAACGACGATGAGGTTGCGCTGCTGGCGCGCCATTTTCACACCAGAGACGACGCAACCTTTTCCGAAGTGGCATTATCGCAAGTTTTAGGCCAGCCTGGGGCCGCTCAGGCCGCAGAGCTGCTGTCGAGTATACTAGGACTGGACTTCGCCGTCTTTCATGCTGCCTTGGTGTGTGAGGTGGGCCAGTACCAACCAATGCAACAGATGACACCGGCGTTTTCTAGCCTTGAGGCGATACAGTCCTTTGCCATGTTAGAACCGGCTCCCCACCAGGCGCAGGGGCATTCAGGGCAGAGACAACGGCCTGGCGATGTCATCAACGCCATGACAGCTCTCCATGAGCAGAATCAGCTCGGCAACCTTACGGACGAAGAGGTGGCCGCTCGGAATAACGAATACCTCGCCACTATACAAGCATTTTCACAGATTCCATCTCTTTTTTCTGCTATCGGCTCTCCGTCACCATGGCCGGTCAGAGCTCCTCCCTCGCGCGCTGACCGCTTCGGATCTGGCCCATGGCCACCTACAGCTACGCCGTGCACCCCCATCACCCTGTTCGCTAACGAAGCGGGGTTTTCAGGTTACGATGTTGAGCATGAGTGGTCCGCGCTGCCCGAAGTACAAAAGGCAACTTACCGTGCTCGGTCGGAGATGCTACGACGTGAGACTGGAGTTCAGTATGAGACAGCTCTAGCCGAAAGGCCGGTTTCTTCAGCTCTTTCCTTCCCAGGACAACAGCCGCAACCAGTTAGGAGCTTAGCAGGGCTTGCGAGCCGTGTGGAGAGGCTTCCCGGTGTGCCCGCGCGGCCGGGAATAATCACAGGGCTGAGCGTGTTTCGCGATGAGCAAGAAACTAACTGGCAGGAAGTGTTGAGACGGTGGGAAGCTCTGCCTGAAGAGAAGAGACAGGCGTATGAGGCTAGGGCTACGACGTCTAATGCTGCTGCAAGAGCTGCTTTTGATGAAGGGAGCGTATCGTAAAGTACATATTACAGTGAATACTGAACAATCTGACCCCATCTGGCAAAGGATCGTCAATGCATCTATCTGCGAAACTTCATTCCTGCCCATTGGCCACAAGAATGCGGCCACCATCGATGCACAGGTTTATACCGTCAACGTACGACTTGGTCCGAAGGTCAGCTCCTGAATGAAGAACGCATGTGAAGACCATTATAGGTTCGAACTTTGGGTTATGGTTGTAGCAATGAGAAGATTTGAGACTTACCCCGGCTCTGCTAGCGAGATAGATTACCGCGCCGGCGATGTCTTCGTCCTGACCAGCTCTTTTGGCAGGAACCTTGTCGAACAAGGAATTAAATACATTACCTTCCTCTCCAACAGGATTCATACGACTGGGGAAGACTAGGGGGATTTTACATGATCAGCAATCTCACCCACCAATGGGGTTGCTGTCACTTACAGCCAGGATTCAACCCCACAACTCGAACATAGAAATTTCTGAACTTAGCAGCCAGAAGCTTCACTAAGTGATCCGTAGCGGCTTTGCTTGCAGCGTAGCTCGTCAGGTCAACATTGGTAACGTTGTGCATACTGGCACATGAGCTCGTCATGATCATGGCGCCGCGTCCTTGACGACTACCTGAGCCGTCGTCACCATTATGGGAAGCCGCAGCATGCAGCAGGGGAAGGAATGCGACAGCCAGGTAATAATGTGCTGTGACGTTGATGGAAAATGTGTCTTTCCAGTCAGTCGGTCTCGAAGACTGCATTGAAGCTTGTAATTCGAGGACGTTAACAGTCTCGAGGTCGCAAAGATCCAGCGGATCCCGCCGAATACCAGCGTTCGACACTAATAAGTCAAGACTGTGTTCGCGTGCTTGAACGTATTTTACGAGTTTTGTTATCTCATCATGTGACGATAGGTCGCATGGCACACTGCAAATGTCAGAGATGCGTTGATAATATGAGCTAGAAATTGTGCAATACCCTGTCGCATTTCCTCCAGAAGACTCGCCCAACTCGTTGAGCTCTTTGACAGCTTCAGCGATCGGGCCCGTTGGCAAAGCAACGACGTACACCTTGGCGCCATTCGTGACGAGGCCCTAGCAATCTTAATTCAGAGTTCAAATTGTTACAAAGGATCATGATCTTTCGACCTTGAGTCATCATACTGAGATGTTGGGTCACATACCTTTGCTATCATTAGGCCCAGTCCGCTGCTGCCGCCCGTCACCACCGCCACATGGCCCTTGACCGAAAAGAGTCGCGTAATGTCGAGTGAACCCATCCTTAGAATCTTCAAACGAAGTGTATGAGCCACTTATGAGGTATGTTAAAAGCTGTTCAATGTTCAATTTCGCCCCTATAAGCGATTGATCTCTTATCGGACTGTTTCGCTGGTCGTCGGTCCGGCCGACATGCAACCTCTCCCGCTATCAGACGAGGGCGGGGTAATTCCTCGACGTACCACTGCCGTCGGGAGATCCGACTGTTCTCTCACTTACATCCCAATGTAGTTACAATCATCAGACATGGCGCCAGAATTCGCGGTCGCTCAAGCTAAAACGTCGTGCAAGCGATGTCACCGACGAAAGAAAAGATGTGATCGCGGGCTGCCTCAATGCAGGAACTGTAGCGGGGCTCAAGTGTCGTGCAGCTTCCTCGATGATGATCGTGTTATGGCATCTTACCCCGTCATGTAAGTAATAATACTTTGCGATAGTATACAAGCTCTTTGTTGTTTGCTGAGTAGGACATGTTGAATAGATATGTGCGCAGTCTCGAGGCAAAAGTCAAGTCTCTCGAAAAGGAACTCAATTCATTACGATCCGCGACAGGAAGAGAACTAAACTCTCAAGCGGAACTCATTAACCTGGATGCAAGTGACATTGGGATCTCTCTCGGTCATCAAGAGACGGAGGCAAACAGCGCGAACCTGCTTTATGAGCCCTCGCCTGCCCAGCTGCCTCTCTTGCAGTCCTCACCTTCCTTCGTCGAAGAGCTCAAAATCCTCTCCTTCGAGGCAACGGCTGATCGTCATTTGGGATCTTCCTCCGGCCTCTCTTTCGCCAAGCTGACACAAACCGTCCTCCGACGTCTGAACCCCGACAAGGCCGACTTTAGCTTCACTAATTTCGGAGCCGAAGATGGCGTGTGGCCGCCGTTAGACCTTTCCTCCTCGACTTCAGACCTCTTGGATTCAACGTTGTTCAATGGATTCAGAGACCCTTTCATGTGCTACCCTTCGATGCTTGACGGGTTCTCTCCGGCCGCACCAGCCGAGCCCGTCTCCCTCCCAGAGCAACAGGTCTCTCTTGAAGGCAGTCATGTTGACCAGTTCATACGTTTCTACTTTGCTCACTCGCATACCTTATACCCGATCATTCACCGCGGGGAGTTCAACAAGATACTGGAGCATTTCCGAGCAGATCCTCAGTGTGCTTTAGCTCAATCGTCCCTGTGTCAATTCCGCCTATGGATGGTCCTTGCCATTGGATCAACAGCGCAATGCTCAGTCACCCTTTCAGATGAACACGAATCGATGATGTACTACAATAAAGCACTTGAGCACTTCGAGGGCGCTCTCGATTATGGATACATGGTACGAATCTCCGTGTGAGTGAGTTTATGAGCGAGTGAAGGCTGACTCATGACTGCAGGCCGCATTGGAAGTTGTACTTCTGCAAGTGTCGTATTCCTTCTTCAACCAGCTTGGACCCAGTACGTGATGGTATGAAATTCTTTCTCGAGAGCCTTACTCAATTTTGTTGTAATAGATACATGGACATTGGTTGGTCTCGGTGCACGTATGGCAATTGGATTAGGCATGCATGCTTCCTCAACCTACGAAGGCCTTCCAGTCGACGTGTCCGAAAAGCGGAAGAGACTCTTCTTTTCCGTTTACATGATGGACCGGTGAGCCCTCAAGATCCACGATACCGCAATGCCTGGCATACTGATCCTATCCAATAGCGTGGTATCTATAGCTCTAGGCCGCCCATTCGCCATCAATGAAGATGACATCGATGTGACGGTAAGATAGGCACTCTCTCGGGACTCAGTAGTCCAACATTTCGCACATCAACTGACTCAAATTTCAAGCCCTTCACGGTGGAAGATGACAGTGACGTTGGGGCACAAATTGATCTGCCCGGGAAGTCATTCAAGCCTTCTATGATGGCCGTTCCTCTTCATATCCTCGAGCTACGGCAGATTGCCAGCAAGATCACGGCTTCAGTCTATTCGCACCGAAAGTCAGCCAGCCTAACAATCGAACAGCGCGAAGAAGTAGCAAACTCGCTTCACCAGAGACTCCTTAAATGGCGTCGTAATATGCCGTTTCCTCTTCCAAATACCGACGCTGCAGTGCCGCACCTTAACAGCAGCTGGTATGACTTCAATTATTATCTCCACGTTGCCATGTTGTATCGACCATCTCCGCTGTTCCCGACTCTGACAGAACCCCGTGTCAAAGTGCTAGCGGAAGCTGCATCCATGTCGATTCGTCAAGTATCTAATATGCACCGACAAAAGTGTCTTGCCTACAATTGGCTCAACCTTCTGTCGATATTTACCGCAACTTTGTCCCTGATATACGCCACAACTGTTCAACCTGATAACCTCACCTCTGTTTTGAGAGACAGGAGAGCAGTGGCGGACCTTGAAATGACCATCGAACTATTTGACAAGCTTAGCGTCAAGTTCCCTGTGGCTGGCAAGATACGTCAAATGGTTGAACAGATATCTACTAGGTACAAAGAAATGATGGAAGTCAACGAGGCGTGAGTTGAAAAGCCAAAAGACGAGCTACTTAGTGTCTGGTATTATCTTATCTAGTCAATACTATCTGTTTAAGTGATGTCTATAATACCAATGGTGACCATCGGTCGATGGGCGGCTTGTCCGACACGAATGATAAGCCTCCAGTTGGAGGGGTCGGGCCGTCCGATGATTAATCGCCGCATCACTATTCGACCTCCGACCGAACGACCGTAATTGAGGGGAAGAATGATGCGTGAGAATTCTTTTTGCGAATTCCAACGATCTCGCCATATCTTCCTCAATTCGGATTTACATAAGTACTGTTGGCAATGTCCTGTTGACCATTTGCTACAGCTCCAGTAGACTTACTCCTTTTTTGATGTTCGGCGGGGAGCTACTTGAGAAAGGGCCAGCTCATAATGTCAACTTTACTCAATTCGACGAGATCGTTCCAGTCTCTTGTGCACATAGGGGCTGTTCAAGAGGTTTTCTCACTCGTGACTATCCTCGCAACGACTCTGGCGTTACTGGCCTCTTATGTCGCCTACAATGTGAGCTCCTTCAGGGTTTCCGAGTAGTCACCTAGCTCTACGATGCGAATGCTGACTCTACAGGTTGCCTTCGGCACTGACATCCCTCACATCAAGGGACTTCCTCAAATGCCTGGCGCTGTTCCAATTTTTGGACATCTTTTAAAGCTCGGCGAAGACCACGCGAGCACTTGCGAGAATTGGTGGCGGAAAGGGAACCCATCCACTTTCCAAATCAAGTTGGGAAACACGAGAGCCGTAGTGTTCAATTCATATGAAGACATCCGCCGTCTGCTCATTGGCCATCAGAATGCAGTCATTGACCGGCCGAAACTGTACACCTTCCACGGTCTCATCAGCAGTACGCAGGGCTTCACGATCGGGTCGTCGCCCTGGGACGATTCATGCCGCCGAAAACGCAAGGCCGCAGGCACGGCGCTTGGAAGGCCCGCCCTTCGGAATTACTATCCGATGTTCGACCTCGAAAGCTATTGCATCCTCCGAGACCTGCACAAGGACAGTCGCAACGGAGAGGTGGAGATCAGCGTGCGACCGTATATCCAGCGGTATGCGTTGAACACCACCTTGACGCTCTGCTACGGTATTCGAATGGACGCCGTCTATGATGACCTACTACGCGAGATTCTACATGTCGGGTCGGCAATTTCGCTCTTGCGTAGTGCTTCAGAGAACACCCAAGACTACGTCCCCATCATGCGGTACTTCCCAAACAATGAGAAGAGCCGTCGTTCCAAAGATCTCAGGGAGCGCCGAGACGCGTATTTGAATCTGCTTCTGGATAAAGTTCGAGAGCAGATCAAGCGTGACACTGATAAGCCCTGCATATCGGCAGCGATCTTGAAGAACGAGGAAACTAAGCTTAGCGGGGTTGAAGTCTCGTCAATCTGCCTTTCGCTTGTGTCTGGAGGATTCGAGACGATACCGGGGACTCTCACCTCGGCCATTGGATCCCTTGCCACGAAGGAGGGGCAGGTCTGGCAGGACCGGGCTTACGAAGACATCAAGCGTTACTATCCAGATGTGCGCGAAGCGTGGGCTTCTTGTTATGTAGAAGAGAAAATTCCCTACATCAACGCCATCATCAGGGAAGCTGAGAGGTACTACACAGTCAGTTCTATGAGTCTTCCCCGAAAGACTGTGACCGAAGTACATTGGAACGGAGCGATCATACCCCCTAAGACAATGATCTTGGTCAACGCACAAGCCGGAAATCATGGTGCTTAACTTTCTCCCCTATTGACTGAAGTTCGTTTCAGTGTTACTAATGTAATGCAAGATGTTGGACATTTCGGTGATGATGCCGGTCATTTCGATCCCGAGCGGTGGCTCGAAACTCTTGACCCCCCTACAGAAAAGGAGATCTCAGGCGTCGGTCACCTCAGCTTCGGATTAGGCTCCCGCGGCTGCTCCGGGCAGTACATCGCCCAGCGTCTACTATATGCAGCCTTGGTGCGGCTGCTATCTTCGTACAAGATTGTTGCAAGCGAAGAAGAACCCCCGAATACGGACTATGTCGAGTATAACCAGTTCAAGACGGCTTTGGTGGCGATCCCCAAGGACTTCAAGGTGAAGCTCATCCCCAGAGACACCTCTGTGACGAGTGATTGCTTGAGAGCTGCGGAGGAGAGAACTAGAGAGTATTATGTCGAGTAAGGCAGTTGACATGTATTCTTCGAAGTGGTCATTTGAATTATTACGTCTGAGAAGAGAGCTAAACTTTGGCCAGAGCTTTGTGTTTACGTGTTCCTCTGATGGCCTTTGCCGCATGATACTACTCTACATATTCGCGGCTTCCGAATGCTCCGTGAGGGATTTCAATCCGCGTCTCGCAATATTGAATTAACTAGATTCATAGCGTCTTTCGATATGTCAACTCGAGCTAAAGTCGATTGACATGTCTCTCAACGAGCCTGGCAAAGATCACAGAGATGACCTGTGTAAAAAGCTTCTCAGGCATCAGACTTGGGCCACAGCGCACTCTTTTCTAGTCTCGGGCCCGTCAAGGACTATATGCATAATACATAATACATGCTGAAAGCAGTGGTCAGTATCTGGGTCATTGAGTCACAGAGCCAGGAGGATTCGGAAAGGAACCCCTCGGTACAATAAGGTAGTCCGAGCGATCAATGCCTGCCCGGTAAGTTCTTCTGGGGGCACCTTGGAGTAGTCTGATCACCACCTGACAACAGCCAAACGAATGCTGATCTCAGCCCTGCGGAGCACCAGCCGTCTTTGGACGGATTTGCTCGTTGTAATAATGGCGGCTCCTGTGGGCCTATCATAAAGCCCGATGCGGAGTTGCCAAAAGCCCGTCAAAAAGGTAAGGGCCAGGAGTCTCAATCTTCAATCTTTGACAATGCAGCGGGGGTCTGGCATAGCGAAGCGGGAATCTACAACCGGCCGTTCGAAGTAAGAGAAAGGCGAACATGAAGCTTAACGGAGCCGGCGGAAAGTAAGCGGAAATATAGACTAGTATCAGGGTCGTACCTGAGGCCGTTTAGTTCAACCCAATAATTTGGCTTCTCAAACAAATGAACAAACGAGACGGGAGTGAAGGGGGCATCCTGTCTGAGACTCTCGAAACAAACGCTAATCTTGATGGAATACAAACATCAAAACCGTCAATATCGTCCAAATACAAAGCTCTAGGACAAAAGCAAAAGCTTCTAAGCTTAATTGTGAGAGCTCGGGGCGGAACCAGGTCCCCTCGGCGACCCAATAATGCCTACCTTTCAACTCAAAAAAAGAAGGGATCACTCCGAGATCGCGAAAACAAATGACCGGCGAATCAACGTCGGCGACAATGTCAAATTATCATGAAAAGTGGAAGGCCTTGGGCCTGCTTCGATTCCCGATTAACTCAGAGTTCATCCCGTCTCACCCCCATTTCAAGCTTTGGTGGTGGCTGCTGCTACTACTTTGGGTGAGTGTTCCCTCCCCCACGGGTTTGAAAGGAGGCTAAATCTCAGATCATCCCATCACTTACCTTAAAACCCTTCAGGCCGTCAATGATTTCGGGCTCTCGTCCCTCCTCTGACACATCTCATCCCCCTTGGGCCACCACCCGTTCGCCGTTCGGCGCGTCAAAGGTTCAGAACCTACCTCCCTTCGACGTCCTTCCCACACTCTGACGAATCGCATCATTTCCAGGACGAAACGTACTCAAATCCTCATTCGTCTGTCGCCTCGAGAAGAAGCTCAAGCAGAGATGGCCGTAGCGGTCGTCGGAACCGTGGATCCTGTGCGTAGGGCTTGGCATGTCTGGGAGCTTTGCCATTCGCCCCCCTCACCCCCTTTGGGAGCTCCAGCTCTCCCCAGCTTCAAGCTCCAGCTCAAGCTCAGCTAAGCTTCAGCCAGCTCTTTGCCTTCACCTCAAGATTCACAGTAATTCAAATTCCCATCCCCTAGATGCCGTTCGCCGCTTAGTCATCTCAAAGGGAACGTGAGGCCGTGACACACACACACAGCGGCAGGTCGCCGAGACTTGAACGGACGGATATCTGTCACGATCTGATCTCAACGGGACCACGGGCTCCACCACCGTTCCCTTTGGATTTCTTGCCACCGTTTCGAGAAGCGCTAGACGCCGGTTATGTTCTTGTGAGGATTTCTTTTCAGATTTGTTGTGGTTGTGTTGTAGTGAAAGACAGCATCGCGATGCCGTCTACCGAGTCAGTCATCAACACCATCGCGAGCATCAACCACCACATACGACCATACCCATTGGAAAACTCGGGATCCCGTCCGCTCTCCCATAGATAAGCCAATGAGGGCCGGATTAGTAGTTGGGTCGGTGACGACCAGCGAATACCTGGTGTTGTATGTTTTTGGCTTTTTGTGAAGCTATCGTGATCCACCTCAAACGTACGCGGCGGACCGCAATTGCGGGGCCGGCGCTGTTTCTGCAAGATCCAGCCTATGGCTTCGATGTTCACGCTTGGCGCTAGACGCGAAACATGTCGGAGAGTCATTTGAATTTGTTTTTTTGAATGATTTTGGTATAAGTGTAAATTTCTATATTCATACATCCTAGAAGGTATATCCAGTCCATGTCACATTCTAGACCCCCAGATTACCAGCTCCTTCAGTAGCATCGGCATCTTTCCGTGTGAAAAAGTAAGCCCGTAACAAAGGGAATCCCTGATATCAATCCGAATGATCCATCAGCGCCGTCCATGATCTCACCAGTATCTTATCCTATCATCAAACATTCTTGCCATCCATCCTCATTAGCCTCTCATCACCTCCACGCCCAAAGCCATAGCAACCCTATGACAGCATCGTCGGCGACGAGCGTCCAGAACAGCTGGCGCTGGCGCTATCCTCTCCATCAACATATCCCTTCTCGTTACCCGAATCCACGTCGCTCTCGGTCGCCCATCGGCCAGGGCATCCGGGGATATCGCGCTCGTGTTCGCGGTACTGCTTCTCGCGCTCGCCGTCCTCCTTCCTCTGGCGGAGATTCAACGTGACGGAAGGCGGCTTCACGGACATGGCAGCCCTCTTCTTCTCGCGGGTGTCGATATCAGGCATGCCCATCTTCATCATCAGCTCCTCATTCTCCTCCTCCTCCTTGGCGGCGTCGAACATGGCCTTCATCAGGTCGGCCTTTTCAGGCGTGCGCGCGACAACGTCAAAGTCGAAAAAAGCGGGCTTGGCGATCAGGAGAGGGGTGTAGTCGTTCCAGTGCACGGGGACCTCAGTGCCGTCGGCGTTGTACTTCTTGCGAATGTTGAAAGCCCAGGCCATGCCTCCCATGGACAGGAAGAGGTCCTGGTCAACAATGGGGACACCTTGGCACGTCCTGCGTCCGAAACCGAATTGACTGAAGCCGTCGAGGTTGGGGAATCTAGTGAGAGGCTCTTTGTAGGTAGGGTACTCAGGCTGCACCCAGCGTCCGGGGTTGAAGGTCTCAGCATCGGGGTAGACGGACTCGTCGCGAGTGATGCCCCTAGGCTGCGTTAGTGATGGAGCGAACACATGGTCCTAGTGTCGAGCTACTCACCATTCAAGAGCATGAATCGTGGCACCGGCAGGGATAAAGTAGCCGTTGTAAACATCGTCCTTTTCGACAGCGTGGGGAATGCCTGCACGTCACGTCAATCGCGCTGAACTCAAAAACAAACTTCCACTACGATGGCGCAAAACTTACCAGTAGGGACCGGGGGTCTCCACCGAATGACTTCCTTGACGACAGCTCTCAACAATGGCAACTTCTCGCGATCCGACCATTGAGGGCATCTACCTTCGCAGTTCTCGTCAATCTCCCGTTGCAAGCGAGCCTGCCATTCGGGGTAGTGCAGCATGGCGAGGAGGAAACTCTGGATGGGGCTACCGATGGTCAAGGCGCCAGCAATGGCCATGAGACCAACGACGTTCTGAGCCTCCGCAAGGTCGCCCCATTTGCCCTTCTCGTTTCCGAGACCCTCGTTGATAAACGTGCTGATGAAGCTCGGCGCGGCGGTACCCTTCTCGACCTGATCCTTGACAAAGTTGACGTTGCTTGTGAACTGCTTCGACTCAATGTCGTGGCGCTCCGCCTCCTTCTTCTTCCATGGCGACAGCGCTGCGGGAACGTGCATGAGGAAGGAGATAACATTAGGAAGAGCACCGGCAGGGGAGATGGTCTCGAGAAGGCCAAAGGTGGTCTTGCGCAGAACTCTGGCCGGGTGGGCGGTACCCCAAGAAAGGCGACTGACGGTTCGGCTGGTGAACTGCTCGATGTACTCGCGGTACTCGGCAGGCTTCTGGTAGAGAAGCCACAGGAAACGATCGCGCTCGCGGCTCGGGTATGCGTGGAGCTCCTGCTTGTCGCTCTGGTTCATGAGGTGGTGGCAAAGCTTGCGCTGGCGCTTCCATGTTTCTGACCGAATTGTTAGTGAGTATATTAAGGTAAGAGGCAAGTAGGAGATATACCTGTCCGGCCAAGGAGGGCAAGGTAGTCACCGCTGGTGCGGTTATCCGGGAGGTTAGGAATCATGGGCCGGTCAGAGTAGATGACATTGCGGCGGCCGAGGAGGTCGTGAGCAACTTGCTCAGATGAGATCCAGACGTGGTAAGAACCGAACATCTCTTGCCCGTAGATTGGGCCATATTGCTTGCCCCATTCGTGGAACTTCATCCATGCCGCCTCTGCCGGAACATCGTGAACGCGACCAATAAAGGGCAGACCTGTGCTGAAGTCAGTGTCTGTATGCCATCGTTGGCATGACATGATAACTTACCCTTTGGTCCAGGAAGAGGCTTTGCTCCCGCCGGGATCCTCTTCTTCAACTGGATGGCGGAGTAAAGGCGCCATGCGCAGAAGAGGATAAAGCCGAGGATTGCCACGCCTACGGCCATCGTGACAAGGCCAAGTGCTATTAGAGAATACAACTAAGTGTTGTCTACGGTATGGTATGAAGAAGGGTAAAAGGGGGAACCGACGTCAAGGTCGATTAGGGGTGAAGAACAAAAGAGAGTGAAGAATAAGATCTGCTGATGCAGGAAAGCAGAAACGACAAGAACCACGATGACGGGTCTCGAGGACGGTGTGTCTCTCGGCTGTTATTAAGAAGAGTGAGGACCACGTTCAGCCATCCGGTCATGGAACGCCCAAGCGGACCGACGGGGAACGGCCAACGGTCCCTTTGTCTGGAAACATGACTGAACCACGCGTGTATGGACACTCGCCGGATTCCCCAAGCGCCATGGCGAATAGTCCAATACCACCCTCTTGCGACTATCATGGATCGGCGCACAGCGGGCGGCGGCAAACTTGTCAGTCCACCTCGCCGTCCATTCCGCCATCCATGGTCCAACAACGGGATGCCCAGAGTCTTGGACCCCGGTGATGGTGTATAATCCTTGACAACATAGCACAAGATACTTGTGCCGCGCTTGCATGTCGGCCGCCACCGTTGTGCTTGCTTGCTGATGGTGGTAGTGGTGGTGTTGCTGCTGCTGCTTGCTCGCTTGGCTCCCTTCCCTTCCCATCCCAGACAAGTGGTTCGTTGAGTTCTGACATCTGGGCATTGAGCTTCCTGAAAGGTACATCAGAGATCAGACACTCGGTTCGCCTCAAGAGACGAGGAAGGGGCAAAGGCAGATCCCCGAGAGCTCTCCAGCTGGAGCTCACGGAGTGCTAGCAAATACCGATGCCCGTCCTTGCATCTTGCGTAGGAGGGGAGGGTATGCAGGCTCGTGGACTGCAGCAGGGTTGACCATGGCTGCTTAGGGCCCAAGGAGACGGTTAGAATATGAGGTGACTGTGGGATGCGCGTTGCATCCGCGAGAGCTCCAAACACAGGGGCCAGAAGATTGGCCGAGCCGACATCTCACTGCAGCAAGGAGTAAACACGCTACCGTGACTACCAAGCTGTTCCATGTCCAAGTCCGTAGTGCCCGCGGTGGACAACAGGATCATCCTCGTCCCACTCTGCCCTCGTCGACTGGGCGTCTGAACCAGTCACCTAGGCACCGGCGTCAGGTAGAGCTGTTGCGGTGAGCTACCGGAGCGCAGGTCGGGCCCCGTCCGGTCTCGGCACAGACACCGAGCCACTTCACCGGGCAGTACGCTAGCTTTGCAGCTAAAACCAAGGATAGTATACGAGCAGAAAAAATCGCACTGCTCGATTGCCTAAAATTGTCGGAAGAAGCTGCTGTCACAATTCTCTCGAACCGTTCTAGGGCTAGGCCAGGCACACCCGTTGGCCCACTCCTTGACGTTTTCGCTTCCTTCGTTTGCGCGCTATTCTGCTCTGTCCTGAGCGGAAGCTTGGAAAAGACCAGGACGAGGTCTTCGCATGCCGCCATGATGCTGAGGCCGATCCGCATGGTGCCCCACGCCGGATGCACCGCTACTATTGTGTTCCGGAGCCTGGGCAAACGTCAGTCTCGGCCTTGGACATTTAGACAGCACACAACGCCCAACGCAAGGTAGGGATAAATCATCAATATTATTCTTGGGTTTCCTCCGGCACTTGACCAGGAGACGTCGGCAGAGAGACTTCACAGAGTCATCGACTCTCAATGTGTAGATTGTGGACGTCGATCAACTGCAAGCCACGGCATCGCGGAAGCTATGCGGTCGGAAATTGGTAGCCAACAGCCATCTGCAGATCGAGTGAGAGCCAACGACAGCCAGTAAGAACCAGTCAGAGCCGTCGAGAGCCATCGCAACTCTAGTGTTTCGACATATGCAAGATTCGGTGTTGGCAGGGATTAGTACGCCCTAGCGGGATCCGAGCGGGAAGATCACTTGGTTGGCGCCCAGGAATGGAACTCCCCCACGCCATTCACCGAGCGTCAGACAAAAGCCACATGTTGGTACCTTAGACAAGTTGTTGAACGCCTCTTGATCGCCTTGAAGGGAGAGCGTCAGGGGGAGGCCACCTGTTGTGAGTGTCGTGGCACTGTGGCTCATAGCTCGCGCTGCGCAGTTCTGCTTTGACAGTCATCATGGGTCAGACTTTTCTCACCTGAGTGTAGGTGGGTGAATCTCCTGCTTCTTGCGAAACACTCTCGTCGCGACCTCTCGACATATGCCGTGCTTTGCTTGGCCTGGATCCAGTCTGCTGCTGCTGCTGCTTCTGTTGTTGCTTCTGCTTCTGCTTCTGCAGAGAAACCAGCCCTACTGGGTCGAATTGCCGCCGCCGCCACCTGCACATCAAACTTCACTGCAGATTGAATGACTCCTTCGTCTCCAGTCTGGGGTAGTAAATGGTAAAACAATTGTCTCTTCAATTACTCAGCACTAATGGGCTGGTGCACGCGAATCCTGTGTGGCTCATGCTGTCTGTCCGACGATAACGACGACGGCCACAGACGGCCACGGGGATTTGTAGTACACCGAAACGGTTGGTGGCTTCTTCGATCGAAAACGTCTCGCTCGACTTTGTGCGACGCCACACCGGTTCGCGCCGTCGGCCATCATGGAATAGCACCACAATGTGGCTGATGGCTAGTAGCCGTTGTGCCGGCCTGTTACGCAGTAGTAGCTCCTATGCCCGTGTTCGTCATTGGTACGAACACTCTTGTGGCCGTTGGTCACTCTGCTCATAATCCTCCGCTGTCTTTTTTAGTTGTTCAAGTCCTCTTGATACGACCACTTTTCCCTCCACTCTCGTCTCTCACAGTCATGATTCCGTCATGATGCCAGTTTACATTCTGGTGGGGTGGTCAGCGTCCAGTTTCACATGCCAGACGGCATCGTGCGACAGTATATGGAGAATAACTCACCTCTCGACAGGGGACAGTCCCAAGAGACGCATGCCGTTGAAGAGCACGGTCCTGGCGGCCATGTACAGCGCCAAGCGGGCCTTCTGGAGCTCAGCTTCGCTTCCAACAATACGCAACACATCGTAACTGCTGCTGACGACGTGCGTGAGGCGGAACAGATACGTAAGCACAGTAGTGGGCTCCAAGGTCTTGAGAGTGTTCTGGACAACATCGGGGTACTGGCTAATGACGCGGATCAGCTCAATAGCATGCTTCTCCGTCAGCAAGCCAAGATCCGCCTTTGCAATCTCCTCCTCAGCAACTCCAGCCTTGCGGAAGATGGAGCACAGGCGAGCGTGGGCGTACTGAAGGTACGGTCCGGTGTCACCCTCGAACGAGGTCATGGTGTCCATGTCGAACTTGTAGTTGTTGACCCTGGGCCAATGTGTCAGTGCATCCGAAAGCGCCTGGAAGGAAAAGTCCGGACGACATACCTCTTTCCACTCATATCCTGGACCATCACACTGCTAATGCCAAGAATGTCGGCCGTAGCCTCCGGTTCGGCAACCTGGGCGTACTTGGCCTCGTTCTTCTTCATCACCTCGTGCATCTTGTCTCCGACGTCGCGCAGAATGTCATCCAAGAACTTGACCGTACCCTTGCGGGTGCTCATACCCAGAACCATACCAAAGTTGATGTGCTGGCACTTCTTGGCCGTCTCGCCGTGGCCCATAAGCTCGATGATCTTGAAGAGCTGCTTCAAGTGCAAATCTTGTTGAGAGGCAATGACGTAAATCATGTGGTCAAAGTTGTACTTCTTTTGACGGTGGAGAAGCTCGCTGATATCACGGGTCAGGTACAGAGCTGTGCCGTCCTTCTTGCGAATGATGGGGCGCTCCAAGCTCTTGCCCGGCTTTCCGGGAATGTGCTTGGCGAAGTCAATGATGACGGCGCCTTCTGACTTTTCGGAGATGTTCATGTCTTCGAGCTTTTTGGCAGCAGCCTCCATATCCTCCTCGGAGACTTGGGACTCGCCCGAGTACTCGTCAAAGTGGATGTTGAGACGGGCGTAGGTCTCCTTGTAACGCTTGATGCTGAGATCACGGAATCGCCTCCATTGCGCCACGGCCTTGTCGTCTCCGTCAACCATGGCCTTGAAGTACTTGCGTGCCTGCTCGTCGAGGCTGTTGTCCTTGAGCGCGGTGACGTCCTCGCCGGCCTGCTCCTTTGCGGTGATCTGATCCTTCTCGTCGGCCATGTCCCTGTTGATCTTGACGTAGACCTCGTACAAGTGGTTGATGGGATCGGCGGCAAGCGCCTCCTCGCTACCGAACCTCTCGAAGCCCAGAGCCAAGAGACCGTATTGCTTTCCCCAGTCACCAAGGTAGTTGATACGGGTCACATCCCAGCCGGCGCCATCGTACAGGTTGGCAATGAAGCCACCAATGATGGTGCTTCGCAAGTGACCAGCGTGGAAAGGCTTCGCGATATTCGGGGAGGAGAACTCGACAATGATCTTCTTCTTGCCCTGGGACTTGTCTTCGGGGTTCTTGAGACCGTTGTTGGGGTTCTTGCCAAAGTCGACGCCGCGGGATCGGACCTGGGGGATCAGGAGCTGGGACAGGGGGCCGGGCTTGAACCAGAACTGGAGGAAAGTGCCATTCTGGAAAGAAACAGGCTTCTCGATCAAGGGAGACTCGGGGATCTGCATCCAAGGTGTGTTAGTCCAACATTCGATTGTACCACGAAAGAGCCAGGGCGCATTGATCCAGGAGTACGGGTTAGTCCAAAGATCTTGGTTCAGGACTGACCTTGTCGAGCCACTCAGCAGTCAGGTCAGCAGGCTTCTTGCCCTTGATGCGAAGAGCAGGGACGGCCAGCACCAAGTCGCCCTTATCCAAGCTCTGAGTCCATTGAAGAGCGTTGTAGATGATGGTGCTCTCGACGCCGGTGACAGGCTGCAGCAGCGAGGTAATGTGGGAGCGATAGACGTCAATGGGGTTGACTTCGGGGTAGCAGCCGGGGTAGGACTCGAGCTTGCTCACGGAGAGCTTCTCGAGCTGCGCCGTGATCTGGTCAGCCATTGTCGCAAGCGAGACGGTGGGGGTGGGGGGAGGTTTGGCGAGGGTCGACCGGTTCGGAGTCGTCGAGGAGTAGAGTCGCGTGGTGGACGTTGGAGGTCGTCGTCGAGGAGGGTAGTGGACGAAGACTGAGGCGGCAGAAGACGCTCCTCGTCGAAGACTTGTGGGATAAACGTTGGCTGAACGAAGTGAAGAAGAAGAAGAGAAGAGGAAGCGCGCGACGCTAGTCATTAAGAGACTCGACGACGGGGGACTGGGCTGCAGGGGGGCACGAGAAAGAAAAAAGGCAAGGAGGGGGAGGGGTCGCTGGGCTGAGGGCTGTGGCCGATGTTTGTCACCCGCAGAGAAAAAATTGCGGACCGGGACGGCCAGCCTGAGTCACTCACTGAGCCATTCGTCCATGTGGTTGGTTGGCTGTCGGTGTGGGGCTTCACCGAGATTCACCGAGTGGAGGGGTAATCATCCTCGGTGAGTCCCGTATGGAGGGGCAATTCCCCCCGCGAATCTCGGTGAGCTCGCCTTCAACAAGGTTGCATGGAAACTCATCTCATCAGCCCATAATGTTCTCACAAGACAGGAGAGAGCATGAGTGGTTCTGATGGGTATATATACTCTACACGCCTTCATGTTCTTCACACTTCACAAACGATAGGATAGCCGGCATTAATACCTCGTACCTAGTTGTCGAGCTGCCGAATCCCACACGAAGCTCACCGCGTCAGCTCTCTCTCTCGATAAGACTATTAATACATGACGCTGATGAAGCCGGTAATACATGTACCAATCAAGCCATATGAAACAATCCTTCTAAACTTGTAATCCCCACCAATGACATCCAAGCCGTGGAGTCTTGTATACCATCCCAACTGGTTTCTTTTTTGTAGACATGATATTTACACATGTTGACAAGCAGTATGAGTACGCGTCAAATGCCAATGACTTGCATGAGTCTATAATTACGTTGATATTATCTAGAACGAATACTCCTCGACAAAAAGATGAATCCCCTGTGCCCCCGTCCCCTTATGGACCGCCCTCTCATCCGATAATGAGGCCACGCAATTCCTCACCGAACTCGTCAACGACTGCCCACCACAGACAACGATCGACGTCTCGCCGCCCGCAGCCTCGACGGGTTCTCGAATCAAAGCCTCCAGATCAGGACGACAATAGTACTCCTTCACCATGCTCATCAAGGACCCGCTCCGGATCCTGGGTGTAAGCGGCACCTCATCGCCCTTTTCCAAGTCTAGTCCCTTTTCCTGACAGCATCCACCACTGCCGCCACTACCGTCCACGGAGTCGTCAGAGGCGATCCTCCTGTGTTTCGCAGACGAACTTGAGCTAGAGCTTCCTTCACGGTCTGAGTAGAGAACCGTCGTCGCCTCGCCTTCCTTGGCTTTGCCGGACCGCGTAATGGCGATATGCACCTGCAGCTCAATGCCGTTCTGCTGCGCCCGATCCATCGACTCCCGCAGCCGCTGCGTGTAGAATTCTATTTCTTCACCCTGGCATGCCATGAGGATGAACTCAATCCTCGTAATGCATGTCTTCCTGCGGCTCTGAACGATGCTCTCCAAGATAGGCAGCGTGAAAGACGTCCCCGTAGACGCTGAGATGAGAACCATGGTGTCGTAGATATCCCATCTAGGCGGCGCTCCGAACGGCCCCAGCACGAAGCCCGTAAGCGTCTCCTTCTTCCCAGATGCCTGAAACTTTTCCGCGTGGTTATGCAGTCTCTTGGAGAACCCACCGTGTTTCCGGACGACAAGCTGGATACTGTTGCAGGTACACGTCTCCGGAAGCTGGTGTGCGCACGCGATTGTGTAAGGGTGTGCCTCAAGGGGCCCGATACGCGGCAGCCAGAGATATAAGTGTTGCCCCGCCTTCCACGAGAAGTGAACATCCTTGATCGTCAATACCGTCGTAGACGAGCCCGCTGTCCGGATCTGCACCTCGTGTCCAACTCGCTTCATCCCCTTACACGTCGATCTGTTGGGTCGGAGCCTCGTATTCTGCCAGGCAAGGAACACCCAGCGCGCAAGGCGGTCGAAGCAGATGATGGCGACGGAAAACCAGAGGTAATGCTTCGCGTAGGCCGGAATGTGTACATAGACCAGCCAGATGAAGAGTACCGCCGAGAGGATATGCTGCAGGAGAAAGAGCTCGTACGCCATGCTGCGGAGGGGTCTCATACCCGTGAGGAACGTCCAGATGAGGATCCCCCAGGCCCCGAGTCCGTACTTGATAACGGGTAGGATCCGCAGCTGCGTCTCGACAAAGTCTGCGCGCACCCACTCCGACCAGAAATGGAACCCGTGAACGGTCGCCGTGACGAACATTGTCCTGGCGACCCATCGGTGAAGCCAGCTTAGTCGTTCATGCGAGGCGCCTATGATGAATCCCACCACGTTGACCTTCATCGCCAAGAGATAAAGGAGGGGCATTTGCATAACAGTCACCCAGGCGTTGCGGAAACCTATGCGTTCCCAGAAGTACGCGTCCTTGATGACGGCATCGTTGACCATCATGTAGATGATGACGGCCCAGTAGGCCAACAGGACAAGTACGCGACCGAGTGACGGCGGCGTCGCCCAGCGGAGGCCCTTTATGGGGATGTAGATTTGCGGGTGTCCTGCTTCGCGGACGAGCGCTGTTGATGTCGCCCATATCTGTGCTATAATATTTGAGGGTTTCGTCGGGAATCGAACGGACTCGGTGCGACATCGCTTAAGTCTGCACATGTCAGCATTAGATGGTCAACTACAGACACGGTGGCAATGATGTTCACCTTCTTAGGCTTTCGAGATAGTTGAGACCGCGGATGATACCCAGGAACCCGACGACGCCTGCAATGATGTACCAGAAAGACTGTGCGAGCTGAACATTTGTCTCCTGGAATAGCGCCGTTCCCATGGTCATGCCTCCTCCCATACTACTTCCTCCTCCATGATTATGGCTCATCGCGACGGTTTTTGGTGACGATGCGCTTCCAAGTGTGAGAGGGCCGTAGACCGTGGTAAGTTTCGCTGGATCTGCTGATTTGCAGCTTTGGCGGTCTCCAGCTCCGCCGATTCTTCCTTCTTTAACTCGTTACAGCCCGCTCAATTCAGGTTGATTAAATGCAGAGGTTCGTTGTGAGATGTTGAGAGGGGATGCCAATGGCGCGCCGATGTCATGAGGTAGCGCAAATTCGTGAAACCATCTCACAAAGCAAACACTACCATTCGCATGCGCATAGACTCCCAGATACCACGAATTCATCCAATAATTGAAATACGAAGAATGAAATCTGCGCCTCGAACAGTTCACACGTCCCGACTATACGGCGTTTGAAGACTGTGAAATCGGCCAGAAGAATGAGGTGTATTGAGCAAGTTCAAGAGGCAAAGACTCTGGGCAGCGTAAGCGAAACAAGTGACTGGCCAGAAGCCGGGCACAAGAGAAACGTTACCAGTAATGAGTAGCCGGCTCGGCGGCACGAAATGCGCTGATTTAGAGAATGGTTAGCGCGACACGGTCCAGCATGCATCCGAACGAGTTTGGCATCGTCAAGGCATGACAACCTGGGCCATGGGTAGACAGGATGCTTCAAGCAAAGGTGGCTGACGGATGATCCGCCGCCAACTCACGGTACGGAATGCCTGAACGCGTTTCTCGACGACGGGAGTCTCGGCTACACTTTCACTTTACACCCTCTTCGTCGAGAGTTTTCTCTATCCTACCGGGTCGGGGGAAAGTTCTCTCTGCTTTAGTTTCTTACCGGCATGTTTACTAAGTCCTTATCCATCAGATAAAGAGAGGTGTAGGCTCTTGGGTTTATTTGATTTTACGCTGGTCATGATTCGCTCTTACACAGAATTCGAATTCAAACTCTCAGATTGGTTATCGCTAATGCCCGTCATCCTCTGATCTCTGTCCTCTTCTACAGCCGAGATTCGGAAACAAGCTTGTTTTTAATTCTCGCCAACTTCTCAAGAGTAAGAAGATACCAACACCCATCCAGGCATCAAGCACCATACCCGCCAAATCTCATCCCCCGTCCAGCTTAGAAACATGCTCACGACAGAAGATCAATCTCAAAACCCCCAGTGAATCCCCCCCTTCCTCCCCAGATATCCCCCCGGCCCCATGTCGAAGAGTGAGAGAGAGAGTCTGAGTTGACGAACTCTCAAACAGGGGTAGTCCCCCCCAATCACAACTGCGCAAACGCCACAATTTGCTCAAAACTTCTCAGTGACATTCCCAAACAGCCTCGTGATTGGTCGCAACCCCAGTCACGCAGCCAGCAAGCCCCTGCGCGCATCGCGGGGCTAGTCTATCTAAGGTTAACTACATCCCTTCCTCTCACGGTCTAACCGTCTAAGCATCAAGCCACCCGTCCCCGCGCGTCCGCCACCGCCGCCTTTTTTGATATCACACGTTGGCATCGCGACGACATTTTATTGTGACTGTAGAGCCCGAGGCGGTGGAAGAAACTCGACGAGCCTGCGAAAGCACTCAAAGATATTACCAGAGCCTCATCATTCATCCCCACTGAACTTGAAAGCCAAGAGTCGTCCCGAGAGTCCCGGCGCGGAGAATCCACCCGGAGAGGGACCTTTGGTTCTTTCATGCATACAGTGAGGGGGAAACATGCAACCATCCAACGTGGTAAAAGTGAAGCTTAGAGCTAATTAGTTCGGCAACACCAGCCAAAGTGAGCAAGTTTTATCTCTGCTTCCTAGCTGTTCCTCCCGCCACCGGGCACAATACCCCCAGTAAGTCACCTTCCTCTCCAGTGCCTCTGACCGGAGGGCATAACTCAATTCCACCTCGCCATGTGCCGACTGCCGGATCTAGGCCTCCTAGTCCATTGATGATTGAATCCGAGGTTCTCGTTCACCCATTCAGAACTTTCCAAATCCTCTTTTTCCATCTCTGTAGCTTTCCTCAAGGCACAGAACTGAGGCACGCTCGTTCTCGTGTAACGGTGAGAGAGATTCGGCAAGACCTTCCGTCTCTCTCCACTCCATGGATGCCATGTATCTCACCCAAGTGCTTAGTTCTTCTTACCCAGCCCGCTCGTGAGATATCCGCACTACCCTTGCCAAACAAAACCGCGAGCTCCCGAGGAGCTTTGCTGTTACCCAATCTAAGCTCCTTCGAGACAAACGGCGCGACCAGGCTAGCCCTACAGAAGAGCGAGAGGAAAGGGACACCCCGTTGCTCGGGTCATTCTCCTTCCGCCCATTGACCAATACCCATCCCACGCGACGCCGGTCTCGTTCATAAACAGCCCGTGTTCCCCTCCGTCTGCTTCACACCTGACATTTCACCATCTTATCAAATCCAATTCCTAATACCTGTCCTCTCTCCGCGCTGTGCGCCTCGATACCCAAAGTCTTCTCACATCAAACTACACACATAACACCAAACTGTCAACATCACCAACCTCACTCACCTCAACCGCCAAAACCCAACCACCAACATGACCCGCCTCCTAACCCCCCTCCTCCTCCTCGCCTCAACAGCAACAGCCCACTTCTCCATGACCCTCCCCAAACCCCTCGGCGACTCAGACGACAACGAGGCCACCGCCCCCTGCGGCGGCTACACCGCTTCCTCCTCCTCCGCAGCAACAGACTTCTACGTCGAAGGCGATGCCATCGGTATGGAAAACGGCCACCCGCAGACAAACTGGCTCTTCCGCGCCACGCTCGACCAGACCGCCGCCTCCGGCTGGACACAGCTGTTCCCGATCGTCATGCAGACCGGCCTCGGAAACTTTTGTGAGCCCAAGATTGCGGCGCCGGGGAACTGGACGGGAAAGAGAGGTATCGTTAGCGTTGTTGCGCATTCACCTGATGGGCTTTTGTACACTGTGAGTTTTCCTCGTCTCTTTACATTCACTCAAAACCACAATCTCTCTCACAAGATTCTTCCTCTTCAAAAACACCTACCAAAGAACAACCCTCACTAACACACCCGCAGTGCGCCGCAGTAAACTTCGTCTCCGGCACAGCCCCAACCCGCTCAGACTGCAAAAACGCAACAGTCACCGTCGACTTCACCTCCGACTCAACCCTCACAGCCCTCCTGAGCGCCAGCGGCTCCTCAAGCAGCGGCAGCCCCTCCTCCGGCTCCTCCTCCGGAACCTCGACCCCGTCCGCCTCGGCCTCGAGCACCGCAAACGCCGCGCCCGGTGCTCTGGTCGGTACCGTCTTCTCTACCGGCGCCGTGGCTGGTCTCTTGGTGTCGTTGACTGCTGCTGTTGGTGGGGCTGCCATGTTCTTCTAGAGTTTCCGAGAAGTCTGGTGATAACGGATGATCATGGCTGGGAGGAAGTGTATACTAGTTGCGACTCTTTATATATGACCATGGCCATCTAAGAGACATCGCAGCGCCTGGAATCTGGCTGCCGCCAATATTAAAGAAGCATTTTGTTCGGAGTGTGCAGAATCAAGTGCAAGCAAATCGCTGCCAACGGCCCATAAAGCATCAATGAAAATTCGATGATGCGGTAATACCGGTGACACACGCAGACCATAGATTGACGATGCGCTGCTCAATTGAGAGTCAAAACAGGGTTGTAAAGAATTCACTGCTTAAGCAACTGGACTGCACCATGGGCCTTCATAGCTGGATTATGATAAAAACCGTTGTATGTAAGAGGCGTACGGCCTGTCTGTTATATAAAGTACACGAAGCGAATTCGATCGCCAGTAACCATCCCTCCGTCTATGGGTAATCATAACATAGTAACCAGAGTAATCCTTGAATCAGGGAATCTACGCTCGCCCCCGAATCCGCCACGGCCCCCGCGCGCCGGCAGCACCCGCAGCACCGACGCCAAAGTTGTGAAGCCTCTCCCCGATAAGGTAGGCCTCATCTCTTATACGCGCCTTCCAGTTGTTGAAGACGCCAACAATACTCCAGAATGCCATGGCTGCCAGTGCGATGAACGCAGCCGCCGGATAAGAAAGACGATAGATCATCTTGAGTTCGTGGGGCGCAGGTACAGGTACGCCGAACATGCCTTGTGACTCCAACAAGCCCATGACATACGGGGGTCCGAAGATCGCCAAACAGCCGATGAGCAAACCGGGCACAACGAAAGCCCTCGTCAGCACGAGAACATCAGGCTGGAGCCATCCACGACGAAGAACCGCGCGGACGGCTTGCGCCAAGCGAGTGCCCTCGTACAGGCTGGTGATGGCCCGCGCTCCAAGCTTGACGTAGAGCAATCCCAGAGTCCAGGATTGTATGACTCTCGCCGTGTGCTGGTTCGACACCACAATGCCGTCTTTGAACTGGCCACCATTGTTGGTTCCGACGACATAAGGTGTCGGAGGATACATGTAAGTGTGAAGAGGAATGAGGCAATACAATTCCATAAGTGCCGTGAGGATGAGAGGGAAAACGACCAGAAGGATTGTGTATGCGTAAGCAAGCCTGGCAGTATGGATGCCCATCAGCGCAAACCGCATGGGAGCATCGCTCTGCCACACAGACTGCAGGTTTGAAGATGCCCACGTCTTCATTTTGTTGAAGATGGAGCGAGCATGGAATAGGAAATATGCCGTCGAGCCCAGAATGTAGATGCCGATGCTGAAAGCATAAATGTCGTTGGTACGAATGTGGGCTGGGATGAGGACCTTGAACATCTTGCGTCCGAACACGAGGGGTATAATTGTGAAGCTGACGCCTGTGACGGCGGCAAAGATCCAGATGAACATGATGAACAAAAAGACCCTGGCACGGAAGTGTGGAGGAATGTACACCAGCTGGTACTGGTCCGTGGAGTAAAGGTCGGCATCGGGCGTGTCATCTTTGCCATCTAGTCGGGAGTTGCTCTCAGAAACCGGCATGAACACGCGTCGTCCCTTAGGAATCTTGACCTGGTCCGACGCAGGAGTCCGAACAAACTGGCCCTCTTCAATCAGCTGTCCAGTTTGAACGAGGCTTGCTTTCTTGATGCTGAGGATGACCATCTGGTCGGACGCGATGGCAGATGTCGGCTTCGCCGTGCCACCTTCAAACGTATCTTCCCACGTCTTGGGCACCACCTTGTTTTCTTTATTGACTTCGAGGAGGGCTCGTCTCCACCAAGGAAGAGCAAGCTGATCCGAGCCAGGACGCAGCGCTAGGATACCCTCTTCGTCGATGCGGCGTTCGCCAAACAAAAACCAAGTCAATCGTAGGCCTCTGGCGCACTTGCGGAACCACCAGGTGTACATGGCATGCAGGCCGTCGCTAGGCTTGAAGAACTTGACTGCCAGAGGCATAGCAAAGTTGTAAAACAACAGGTCGACGGGGAATTCCAAGACAGGCTCATTGGAAGAGTAGTGAATCGGCAAGACGCTCGGGAGAGACAGAGCCAGGCCCCACACCACACCTCCGAGACAAACGATGACGAGTGCGCCGTACACAAACGCAGAGAATAGAATCTTTCGCAATTGTGTGACGACGTTGCGTTCCAGTACATCGCGAACGGGGTGGAATTCGGGATCGTCTGGATCGCGGATGAAATCTGTACTGATTAGTCAAAGTGGTAACTGACAAAGACAGCATAAACTTACAGAGGACGCCTTTCCGCATGATCTTTCGGCACATGGAAACAAATAGGGCAAAGTGGAACATGTACCCCGTTCCCACGAACCAATGTACGAAGATGGAGGTGAGCGGAAAATTGACGGTGAAGGCGACTCGCGATTTCAAAGTGGTTGCTTCGAAGAGGGGCAACAAGGCCACGTCCAAGAGGAGGCCGCAGTACAGTGGAAAGATGAGCATCTCAATGCTGATGATGAGAATGACCTTCATAACGCCACTAGCTTGGTTGAGCAAGTCGATCAATGAAGCTTCCCAATCTTGCCCCGTCTGCCCTGTCGAGAACGGTGAACCACGCTTCAGGTAAAGCGCGCTAATTGCTGAAAAGGTGAAGTAGCCGCAAAGAATCGCCCAGAATCGATCCGTGCCTGACCAGTACGATAGTGCAGGGTTGACGGCCGTCGAGGGCTCGGGCACACTAAAGCTGATCACCCATGATCCGGGATTGAGGATGCTAATGGGGACATCGCGGACGGCGTTCCACGCGTACATGGGTGCATTCGCCGCTAGTGACGCTGCATACTTAGTATTGGCTATGAGGTCGCGGTCGAAGATGGCCCCAAGTATGTCTCCTACGGTAGCAAAAGACCCAGAGAGAAGGGACTTGAAGCTAAGTAGTGCTTCATGACTGATGGCGGAAAAGTTTTGCATCTCGGTGGTTGAAATGATGGGTAGCTCGCTGGTCAGGCTCTCGAGGACCCTGGTTGAAGCACTCGTGAAAATGTCGAACGTCTTCTTCATGAGTAAGCCAACACCATTCTTGGCTGGGAAGCCCATCATGCGTCCTGTTGTGTAGATGAAGCACAAGGTCAGACTGGTCAGACCGCTCATGATGCCAACAGCAACGTCCTGGATGAACTTTGTCGCGCTAAAGAGCATTCTCACAAGGCGCATCGGGTTCATGGCAGCCCAGACACTGACGCGTCCCAGGTTGTAAGGAATGAAAACGCAGACGAAGATCGTGACAGAGACAAGCACGACGCAGAAGATGGCATTTTGGAAGAGACCAGCGATGGGACCACGCATACCGATCAATTCCATGATACCCTCGAAATCTTCGGCGTCGTCAATCGCTTCGGGGTCAAGGCCGGCGGCGACGGCAGCTTCCACGACCTCACGGTCTTGCTCCACGGCGTCTTGCTCGTCATCATCCAAGTCATCGTCAAAGTCATCGTCGTCGCTGTCATGATCATGGTCGTGTTCATGAGCGGCATCGTCATCTCGGCCGCCAATATCCAACTCTCGAACCTCGATGTCGCCCCACATGAAATCGGCCACACGGTCCATGACTCCCCGCTGAAGGGGCGGCCGCTGGGCTGGCTGACCAGCTTCGGTATCTTGAGGCAAGCCGTTGATGTCCTCAAGGGGCTCTTCGGGCAAGCCAACGAACTGCGCCGGGACGACGACATCGGGCAGCTGCACCTCTGGCTCGTTGAATCCAAAAAGCCCGTCCTCGTGAATCGGTTCAACTGTCTCAAAATCGTGATCTGCATCGGAGCCAAAATCTGGGGTATTGCTGCGCGGTGGCGTGAATCGGGCTGGGGGTAGACCGAATTCTTGTCCTTGCGGATCAAAGCCAAATGATTGCATTGGCTCTTGAGCCAGGGGTTCGGCCTGCTGCGGTGCAGTATTCAAGCCGGAAAATGACCAACTGTTGTTCGCAAGTGGGTTGATGCTGTTGTTCATCTGAGGGCCGTCTGAAACGGAGCGAGGCCGAAGAGGACTCTGGAATGGAGTCGACCTCGAAGGGCTTGCGTCTTCCTCTCCCAGACCGGACTCAAAACCAAAATCTGTCAGAGCTTCCTTCTCTTTGCCCTTTCCCGTTCCGTCGGTACTACCCTCGCCATGCGTTTGCGGCGGCCATGAGAACTGTGGTGTTGAGGGGGCGGGAAGTTGGACCAAAAATGGGGACGCGGCTTGCGAATCTCGGGAAGCGGAAGGTCCTTCAGGTCCAGGTTGGCTCTTTTTCGACTGCGAAGCACCCGATTCCCGGTTCTTTTCCATCATCGACTTGGTGATCCTTGCCCAATAGCCAAGTGGCTCATCCAACTTCTCCTCCTCAATGATTTTAAGAATCTTCTCGGGATCACCATTGGCCTGTCGGTAGATACGAAGGTATTCGTGAACAGTTGCCACCGGGGTCTGCGAGTCCTTGTTGGGACCGCCTTCGGGTGGTGTATTGAAGTCGAATTCGGGTTCAGGTCCTCCTTGGGCGTGGGATCCGAAACCACCGTGTCTCCTTGCCGCCGGCAAACCCGCCGGCAGCATAGGTGCTGCGAGCTCGGGCATCGGTTCCCGTTCATCCCAAGCCATGTGAGGTAAACCATCCTGGCTTGCGCGTCGACCGCCGGTGAATGATTCATCGTCATCATCCTCGCTGTCACTTGGCCCTCTCAAATTTGCCGCGCCATAGTCATCGAGCATGCCAGCACCATCGTGCGCGTGTGCGTGCTCGTGTTCAGGATCATGGTCGTGGAAATGTTGCTCATGTTGATGTTGCGGTTCGGGCTGCGGTTGGGGTTGTGCGTTGTCGTTGGCGGCAAAGGCGGCTCGCATATTGATTTCGGGTTGTTGCTGGACAACATAGTCGCGGACCAGGATGACGAGAATGAAGGAGATGATGACCAATATCGTGATAATCTGGCCCTCTAGGACGCCGATGATGGTGCGGTTTACAACGGGGTACCGGGTCATATTGCGCAGCCAGGACACGCCGCTCAACAAAGAAGGATGACGGTCGAGAACGGGGTCACTCGTGCCGACAGGCACTGAACTGGAGTTGGTAGACGCGGAGGACGTGATGGATCCGAGCAGCATCCTCATAAGGGCTGCCGTCATTGAGTCGTTGGTGGTAATGTTGACGCCGTGGAACGACCTGCTAAAGGGCAGTTCCTGACCTTGAATGATATCCTTGAGCATGCCTCCCAAGTTGGCCGGTGTCGTGGTGGGCTCGAGCAGAGGCGAAGCAGGGCAGACATTGGAATTAGCGACTGAGAATGCCACCGAGACGCCTCGGCTCACTGTTGCGTTTGAGCTGTTCCATAGAGCGCCACTACCCAGACCTTCGTCGCTGACCCAGAACAGGAAGGCCCAGACTGAGCGCATTAGGTAGGGCAACCAGCAAAGCCAAACGCTAATGACCAGTGCGGCTCGCAGCCATACCAGAACGTTTCTGAAGAGGTATTTGGCCATGTGGCCGACGAAGACGTGGGCCGGGAGAGTCTTTGGCATTTTGGGCGAGTAGAGCTTGGTAAAGCGGAAGGGTGTTTTGCACAGCTCGCAGTGCTTCTTCTGGGAGTGTGAAAGCCACTCCATCAAGCAATCTTGGTGAACGTATTTAATACTGCCGCTGCATTTGCATGGATAGAAGAGCGGTTCTTCGGCGGTCGCCTCGCCTCTACAAATGCGGCATGTATCGGGGTCGAGGACGCCGGCATCGTTGGCTTGGGATCGTGGTTTGGCAGCATCGTGAGAGATGGAAGCGGGCTTCGAAGCCGAGAACCGTCGGCGGGAGTGCGCGTAAGCATCGGCGGCTGCCAGCGGTTCCATCGCGGGGTCGTCCATAATGATTCAGTCGTCGAAGTTGGCGGGGACTTGAGCCCTTTGCAGAAGTGTTTCGTTATTTAGGAACGCATGAGTGCCTTTCGAAGCAAGGCCGACACGGTGAGAACGGATCGACAGCGGATTCGGGGTGGAAATAATCGACAATGAGATGTCGGTGGGATCGAGAGGTCCGACGTAAGTTCTTTGGTCGAAGCTGCGCGTGCCTAGATAATTATCCGAGTGAACAGATTGCGGGGGAGCGCGGGCTGCTTTGCAATGCTCAAGTGACAGCAAACGGCCGCAGCTCCTGCTCTAGACGGCGAGAAACAGTGGAGAAAAAAGGAGAAGCTGGTTGGGTATCATAAATCGTCAAGTCAAACAAGCCGCTCCAGGATGTTGTGAGGTTGTAGACGCAGTTTCGAGACGGAGAAATCAATCGAAGTCCCCTTACGCTAAGACGGGATCGTTGAGGTACCGATCATTGAAAGTAAGTGCGAGGGCCTGCTCTTTCCAGGTCCAGTTGTTCTGGCCCCAGTACCTCAGGTTGGCTCCTGCTCTTGCGCAGGTCGAATCCGCAGCGTCCATTGAGTGGTCCGAGCAGGGGTCCGGCAGCCGGGAACCCGAGTTTAGGGTCCGGAGCTTTGCTTCACCCGTTCCGATGATAAGTGGAGCTAGGCAGATAAGGTAGCTGAGCTAATCCATCAGTGACTATCGGCACGTGATACTCTATGGTTCTGGAACCACCTCAGCAAGAGGAAGCTTCGGCCAACCAGCGTAGCAGCAATTGCGCCGCTGCATCATTATGTCATTGTGCTTTTCAACATGTCGCTACTCCGTACACCTCAACGTTTTCATGATTTTTCCCACAAAGACTCTCTTTTCTCTGTATTATTCTAAACCCACTTTTTCTGAGGTCTTTTGCAAAGCCATTTGATATTAGTCTCGGTAGAGAGCTACTGTTGCTCCATGTCGCCTGCCAGGCCAGGCTCTTGGGATTCACAAATAAGGTACATACCAGACCTGAAGATAGCTTCTATCAACCCTTTTCTTCAGTGGCATGTACGAATACGATGGAAGAGGCCAGGCATGCAAACCACCCGGATCCTCGATAACAGGTTCCCAGCCAAGGGTATCCAGCATCATCAGCATCATCATCGCATGGATTGCGCCAGATGCCGGCCACTCGGTCGCGCCTCCGAGCTCCAACATTCCAAGCTGGTGAGCCACACTTGCGTGCCTGGTAATGCAGTGCTGCGTCACTTCAAGGTTGTTTGGTCCACTTGATTGGACCCCTCATCCGTGCTGGCTGGAACCGCTGGATTGTTTCGGGGGATTGTGGCTCATGGCACCCCGACTCTACCAATCATCCAGACTCGACCGTGCCCCCAACAGCAGGGTTGGTCAATCCGGTGTCTTGCTTATTGATGTGCTTGGTGCGGAGAGATTATGAGGAGACAGTCAGACATGGGACGGATGGTGTGGATGGCAACAGGCATGGTGGCATGGCATGGAAGCGAGGATTCAACGGGAGACAGCAAGAAGCCGAGGACCAGGGCTGCTGCAAGAGAGAGAAAGGTAAGCTGAGCGTGATGCCTTACCTTGCCATGCTTGCTTTCAAGTTTTCCGCCTGCCTGCTTGTTTCTTGTTAGCTCGCAGGTGTGTGGTGTTGGTGTGGTTGGTTGGTGGCATTGGACGATAGCGACAGCTTGGAGCCTATGACGTTGGTGAGACATTCCACAGCGCGCGTGCTGCTCTGCAAGCTCCCCAGAGTTGGAGGCTTGGAGCAGGCTTGCAGCAGGCTAAGAAGGCCGCTACAGCGACCTAGCGTGTTAGCACAAGCTGAACGTCTCGGTTACCTCACCGGCTTCTTATGTCAGCAATCAAGCAAGAAGTACCCTTTTGTATGTGACAACCACCCAAGATTCACCAAAAGATACAATCCAGGCCTGGCCCGTGCTCTTCCCCTCGGACCACAAAAAACTTGGCCCGCAGGAGCAGGAAGCTGCCAGCCTGGGACGGCCTCTTCTCCTGCCTCCTGCCTCCTGCCTCCTGCCTGTGCCTCACCTTGACGCTGTACGCAGGGAAGCGAACGGTAACGAACGCGAAGGGAAGCAGCAGCACAACAACAAGAAACACCACATCTTTTATTTGCATCACGGCTACCTCACCTGACTTTTCCCCTTTCCCCTCGTCTTCCTGGCCTACCTCCATTGTCCATTATTCTTCCTCATACTCTTCTAGGTATTCGCTGCCACCTATCTCGGGTCTGAATCATCTTCCACCAAACACGGCACCAACGTTTTCACCGAAAAGGCCCCTTCGGACGCCCTGAAGCAAAACTATCGCCATTCTGAAGGTAGATCATCAACTCCTAGCTCCACTATCCAACCCCCAAAGTGGCTCCCCCTCTTCGGCCCTCCCCTGCAGCTTCATCGTTCCGAAGGCACTCTCGTTTGGCAGTTTGCTGCGTATTAGCTACGCAACCCACATACGTTCGTTCACGCAGCTCTAGCCTCTGGCTTGCCCAGCCCGGTCCAGGCCGCCTGAAGCAGCCCATGTCCGCCGCCAACTGGGAACTGCGACATCTGAAAATCATCGGAGCTTCTACGCAACCCTCCCGCTGATTTCTTTTTTCCCACCATTCCCAACCTTGGTCTCGTTCCTACCTTTCTTCCTCAATATCCTCTGCGATACCTCTTTTTACGTTACCCAGCTGACCACTGTCTATTATCAGTAGTTCGGCGCAGTCTCGAGTCCTCCTCCACTGCATCATCCTCGACGTACGCACGCACGCACGCACCAGTTTTCCCGACTAACGGTACCCTGCGATAAGGAAAACACCAAATCACGTCACTTACGCGAGCTGCCTGGTATTCCCAGACCACGACCTCCGCCATGGAGGCTTCCAGTGGCTATGCCAGTAACGGCTATCCGAAAGCTCCGAATGGAAAGATCAACGGCAAGATGAACGGCCAGGCCGTGACAATCAAGAGGAGGACAACGCCTACAAGAGGGCCCTCATTTTTCCGCCGTTCGTTCAACATCTTGGCGAGGTATGTTCCCGATTATGTTCCCGATTCTCGGCCGCCCTCGTCACCACGGCCGTGTGCATGTCGTGAAGCATATTCGGACTGACACTAAATTCGTAGGATTCTGACGTGGTACTCCCTTATCTCGATCCTCTTCCGCTGTCCCGCAAACCTCGAAGCTTGCGAGGAGTCATCCCCAAAGATTTGCAAGCCCTACTTCCAGCTGAAGCAGGCTGTATTACCTCATGTCGAGCCCTATTATGATACCTATGCCGCCCCCTACGTCGAGAAGGCTGCCCCCTACTACGACATCGCCAACGAGAGGGTCTTCGCCCCTACCAAGGCTTATGCCACCAAGTACGGCGCCCCTCGTCTCCAGCAAGCCCAGTTGTATGGCCAGGCACAATGGGAGAAGAACATCCAGCCGCAGTTGTCCGTCTACCAAAAGTTGGCCCAAGACAAGTATGATCAGACAGTTGCACCTCACGTTGCCAAGGCCTCCACCACCGTCGGCCCGTACTACGACATTGCGCGCACAAGTGCTCTTCAAACCTACCATGATGTCCTCTTCCCCTCGTACCAATTCGTACAGCCTTACGCCGCCCAGGGCTACGCCGTCGCCTCTCAGTTCACCACCGAAACGGCTGTCCCTTCTGCCTACTGGGCATGGAACAAGACCTACAGCTTCCTCGATGCCACTGTTTGGCCCCAGTTCCGGGTTTTGTACATTGAGAATGTCGAGCCTCAGCTAGCTAGGATTGGACAGCGTCTCGGCCGCTACAAGAACAAGACCAAGGGGTCGCTCGAAAACGTCTCCGAGAGGTAAGAAGAAAAATGACACACTCTTGTCCTATTGCTTAAAGACCACTTACTTACCAGTGATGTGTACAGTGGTTCTGCCAAGGCTTCTTCCTTCACAAAGCCCGCGGCCTCTACCGCCTCGTCTCTTTCCTCGTCTGCTTCTTCGGTAGTTTCATCGGCCACTGAGAAGGCGTCCACGGCCATTGAGAGCGCTCATATTCCCGACGCATCCGAGGTGGCCCAACACGACCACTCTGAGCAGGTTCACGCGCCCCCGCCTGGCGAGAATGAGTCCGACATTCGCAAGATCGCCAGAGAGACTGTTATCGAAGACCTGAGCAGCTGGCAGGCCAAGTTCGCCAAGGCAGCTGACGAGGGTGCTTCTGAAATCGAAGATCGCGTCGAGGAGATCTCCCAGCGCGTCATCAAGGAGAGAGCGCATGGGCAGGGCAGAACCCTTGTCACCGAGCTTCAGGATGCTGCCAAGTCTGAGGTTGATGCTCTGCAAAAGCAAATCATTAAGCTCGTCCAGAAGTCTGTTGATGCCCCGGAATCCGCCCAAGATGAGCTGCTCGCCAGTGTCCGCAAGGCTGGTCTCAACGTCAAGGAGAAGGCTCAAAAGATCCGTGCCTGGAAGGCCGAGTACGAGGCTGAAATCGAAAGCTCCGTCTCTGAGGCGGCCGATACCCACTTCAAGATCCTCGAGAGTATTCGCGACCTTGCCCTTCAGCGTATTGGAATGAAGTGGGCATGGATGGACGGCATCACCTACAAAGATTGGGCCAAGTACCACGAACTGAAGGACCGCTTCGCCGAGTGGATGAGCGATCTGAAGAAGCTCATCATCACTCACCCCGGCCTAGAGGCAGCCCGCGAAGCTTCTAACGAAGTTGAGGATTCCGGTATGGCTGTCGCACAATCTGCAGCCCAGGAACTCGCGAGGCTCAAGCAGGTTGGTCTCTGGAAGCTCGCCGCAAAGGACTCCTCCGACAACTTTGACAGTGAGACGGCGCGCCTCGCTGTCGAGGAAGCCGATCGTGCGCGTGAAGCTGAGGTCGCCGCCGCTGAGGCCGCCAAGGTTGCCGAGGCCTCTGCCTCTGAGGCTGCCGCCACCGCTTCCGAGGCAACTTCTACCCCCGAGGAAGACCCTCTGGAATCAGCCGCCAGCGTCATCGAAGATGAGTCCCCCGCTTCCGACCTCAACTCGGCCGGGGCCGCAAGCTCTGTCAGCAGTGTCGCCAGCGAGGTCAAGGAAAGTGTGAGCAGTGCCATTCCCGCTGTTTCTTCCGCTGTGTCCGAGTCCGTCAGCAGCGCCGCTAGCCAAGTCTCCAGCGCTGTGTCCGGTAGCTCTTCCAGCGTTGCTTCGGAGCCCGACCTGGCGTCCACCATCATCCCGGGTCAGGACCAGACCTACATCGTCGCTAACGATGGAACGTCGCCTGCGGGCGATGAAGAGAATGCCGTGCCTGGAGAGAAGCTGGAAGAGGAGATCATCTCTGAGTCCGTCGAGGATAAGCCCGTTGCTGCCGCCACCGAATCTGTGAAGCCGGCTTTCCTGGGAGCTGCCGCCCAATCCGTGCCCAGCCGGGTTCCCATCTTGGATGACGACGAAGACGAGGAGAGTATTTCTTCCAGAGCCCAAGAGGCCTACTCCGTCGCTGTCTCCAAGGCATCTGAGCAGTACTCGTCCGCCAGCGCCGCCATTTCCATTAAGATATACGGCACCCCTCAACCGACGGCTGAGAAGCTCGTGGCGTCTGCCTCTGGTATCTACGCAGCTGCCATCGCGTCAGCGAGTGCCAAGTATGACGAAGCTGTCAAGGCCGCCTCGAATGCCCTTTACGGCACCGTGGCTCCCAAGCCTACTCCCTCGTACGACTGGTCCAGCGTCAAGGCTATCGCAATGCAGCGTTTGAACGAAGGACGTTTGGCGGCTGAGCAGCAGTACGAGAGCGCCAAGATTAAGCTTGGCCTCGCCACCGCCACTCCCACTTCCACCGTCGACAAGCTTCTCGAGCAGGCCAAGTACAACTACTACGCCGGCCTCGGTGTGGCTCACGCACGTTACTCTGAATTCATGGCCGCCGCTTCGGCTGCCATGAGCTCCGCGACTGCTACCTCCACCCCGACTAACATTGCCGGCACCGCATCTTCGGCTGCATCCTCAGCTGCATCAGTTGCCACTCGCTCGGCTGATGCGGTGGCCTCCGGCGCGCAAAAGGAAGCCATGGCTGTCGCTTCTGCGGTCAGCGATGGGTTCTCGGCGGCTGCTTCCATCGTCAGCGATTCCGTGTCCGCAGGCGTCCAGGAGGTTGTCGATGCTGCGCAGGCCATTGAGAAGGGTGTTTCCGACACCTGGGAGGCTGTTGTCAGCCGCGCCAGCGTTCAGATCTACGGCAAGCCCACTCCCACCGCATGGTACGATAACGCCTATAGTGGCGCCGGACAGTACGCCTCGCAGGCTACTGCCGCTGTTGTCGAGAGTCTCGCTGCCGCGCAGGTCCAAGCCGCCAAGCAGTACGAGGACATGAGCAAGCTCGTCTCTGAGCTTCTCGTGGGCAAGGAGCCTACCGTTTCCGAGAGCGTCCTGGCTCGCTTGCAGGCTGCCTATTCCACGGGCATCGCCTCTGCTGCCAGCATTGCCAGTGCTGCTTCCGCAACTGTGTCTTCCGCTGCCTCGGCTGTGACGGATGCCGTCAAGGAGACCGTTCAGCACGTCCGCGATGAGTTGTAAACGGCTCATAGCACATCCAACACCTCCTGAAATACCATGAACACATACGATTGCATGAGTAATAGCACACGAAATCATCTCAAACCCCCCCACCTCCCGCCTGAAGAGGCAAATACTTCCATCACGCTCTTTTACGTACCAGATACCCTCGCGCCTCGAGTATCGTGGCCGACTAGTCTCAAAATTTTTCTTTTCTGTCCTGCCCCCATCTGGCTACTTTGTAGCGCCGGTTCTGAGCCATCGAAATTGTTGTTCGTCGCTACGTTTCTTCACAAAAAGACGTTTAGCATCTGATTCCTATTTCACGCGTTGGAGGTGGAAGAGCAAAGGAGGAAAGTAAGGTGAAGACGAGGCTGGCTTGTGGTACGATGTGGCAGGGCACGGAGCTGGCGTTTTGACAGTGGGAAACTGGGATCGCGGTTCTTTGGGGATACAATGACCGGCTGGCCCAATACTATTTCACTTTTACGTTTATGTATGCTCACGTGTTATGTCTGTCTGTATAATTACAGTTTGTGAAAAGAAAAGATTTGACTTGAATGGAGCACTGCGTGTGGATGATTGACACGATGAAACTCTCGGGCGGGTAAGACGAACGGCGCGCGTGAGTCCATGGTGAAATACCCACATTTGCCGGCAAAGAATATTGTCTTGAAAATCTCATCTGTCGACATGGGATAGGCTCACTTTAAGTGGTACGTTTGTTTTAAATTCTCACTCGTTGAGAAAGGGGTTTGTCAGCCTTGGATTCCCGTGTGATGATGACGCGTATCTCCACTGCCTTGAAATCGTAGACGTGGACGAGAACCCCTCGGCGTAAAGTCTGGATCAGGGAGAACGGACGGCTGGCTTTTAAGGCTGCTTCGTTGCGTTGTTCATATTAATGATGCGCCTACGACCTTCCTCGGTCCGCTCTTGAGTTCTCCTTTCCCGGCGTGTTGGAGTTGATTAAGGTATCGTGGATGGAGGCTGTGTTTGGAGGCGAAGTCCAGGTTTGTTCACGTCGAGATGACTAGGATGTCTTCGGGTTCGTTGCTATGTCAAGGTTGAGCTATAGGAAGATGAGGGCATTTCAGATGGATTGATCATCAGAAGGGTTTTGACATTTCATGTTGTCTTTTAATCCTTTATGAATTCAACTGCTTCACCTGCCCCTGAGACCGCAAGGTGCGATATGAAATACCGAGTACAGCCCCGGGAGATTGTTCTGCTTGCCTAGGCCGCTGCTTTGAGCCTCGTTTGTTTTGTCACGAACAGCTTCCTTGCATCCGTTCTACCTTGGACCTAGTAAAGAGTCTCCTCGAATCTTGCGCAAATCGTCACAAGATCAGGTGTGTATAGATTTCTGCAACCATCTCCTTTATTGTTTAGGGGGCTCCAGAGTCGGTGAACCGTAGATTGGGGATGGCGTTGCCTTTCTCGCTTGAAAGACGGGAAGAGCGAGCAAGTTCTGTCATTCACACTGGCCAACCTGAGCCACGAATACTAATTCGTTCTGATCTTTGACTCTTTGCATGAATAGCACGATAAGTAATATGGTTGAGCTGTATCAAATCCGACTCTGGCTATTTGAAGCGACTTTCACAGAAGTGGCCGTTCAAATGCATCGTCCTGCGTCTCAGGGTCCAGGGGTATGTGATGCTTCTCATTAGCATCGCTTCAACACCCCGCGGCTCGCATACTAGGTATCGGCGAAGGGATTATCCGTCCACTTCTCAGCCTTGTTCAAGGTCACGGTTTACACAGTCAAGATGTGTTAGTGCTCAGATTGCCAAATGGACAGATCGAATATGGATTATTGCGAGTACTCGCAGTACAGTACAAGGTATTTCATGAATGTTTGATCATGTCCCTTTCATGCAGCAGATTGAGCTTGCTTCTCGACAGGTTTGCACGGCATCTAGCTTCTGACTATGATCGTCGTGCTCCCCAGAGCGAATCGCGATCAGTGGGCAATGAAGTCTCCTCGCTGCCTGAATCTTCCAACAGTAAGATGTCACAAAGCAAGACAACCAGTTTCCGGTCGCGGCCCAGACCGGCCTGGTTTTGGGTTTGAGTTGGAGAACCCCCCGGACAGCTACCTTGGAGCGTATCAAGTAGTGACCTTCCCCGTCGCTGGAGCGGTACAGGATCCCACGAAGGGGTGGAAATATGCGTGACCTACGGCGGATTCATGGCCATGTGCAAGCCATGATGGAGTTCCGCGTTACTCAACACAAGGCAGCGAGATAAAGAGCGATGTGGTTACACAGGATCCCTATCTTGACACACACCGCTATGGCGAGACCCTCGATTTTGAATGTCACGATGGGAATAAAATAAAAGACTGTTCATCTTGGATTATCCTCTTAGAGTTGGACAGTGTGTGATGGTTGATCTATTAGTCTGCAGAGTCATGCCTTTCGCGTTTAGGATCGTCAAGTTTGACTTTAAGAATTCGCAGTTGACACGTCCCGTTCGAGAAATCGAGGGTTTGACGAAGATCGTGGAAATGCAGTTGCTACAAGTCTTGATATCATTTTTCAATCAGAGTCAGAGACATTTCAGGTAGGAATAGCGCTGGCAGGTCCCCCATGCTGACCTTGCAGAAGTGAATGAATGGGGCAAGCGGGAAGCCTTTGGATTCGCTCGCTCGCAAAGGGTATACGGAGTTTTCAGTCAGTTACTTGTAAGTTGGAGTCTCACATCCGCCGAGCAGGCAGCAGAATTATTTCCAACATCTGTTTCCCCCCTCTTTGCCCCGCGTTTGTGGTGCTTGATAGTCGGACCGAGCGTATCGTGGGCCCTGAAGTGTCTCTCTTTCCGTCACCTGGAATTTGGGGATGAGACAGGTTGAGAAGACGTTGGAATCGTTCCACGGGAAGTTCTATGTATAAGGATCTACTGTCATCTTGGAAGACAACCGACATGACGAGCTGGGTGAGCAGAAGATCGAGTCGTCGATGTGTTGATGGCTCCTGTCAGTCTCTGGCCCAACCCTGCTGGGGCAACCGCGAGGAATAAGCTAGTGACGGATCTTTCCAGAGTACGAGTGTTCGTAGTCGGTACGAAAGTCCCTCTTCAAGGAGTCCCTGAGGACTCGAGGAGGGGCCCCCTTGACGAAAGTCTGTCATTCCAACCGGGGATGGATGGGCAATTAAAGCTGCCGGGTGCCGCGATGTGGATAGGAAAAGGCGATTATTGCAGTCTGCGGTAGTGGTGTCGGAGATAATGTGGATGCCTCTCACTCGACGAGGTTTTTAGTGTTTAGGCAGCCAAATAAAAAAAAAGAGGAGGACGCCAACGTCCATCCTGGCAGCGGAACCTAGGGACGGAAGGGCAGCGCCAAGTGCCGTGGTGAAATGGACTTCTGTGACGGAGCCGCTGTCTGCCCAGGTTGAAGAGTCTGTCTGTAAGGTATTACGTATATTCGGTACGGATACTCAAGATCCCATCTGAAAGTTATTTTCCATTAATAGGAGGAAGGAATTGGCGAGCATAGGAGGAACTTGAGCCCATGACGAGGGAAGGGGAGACGCCTCAATGTGCCTGGATGCCAAGAAACTCAGTGACAGGTCCCCCGTCCAAACCTCCACGATCTGTTGGTACGTGTATGCCAGACCTGGTCGACTGGTCCATTGTGTAGCCAAAGTAGGTGGTGAGTTTGGTGCCAAAGACTGAAGTGCCTTGATCCATGAATGACGGACACGGACTCCGTTTAGACGCCCAGCAATAGTCTGCAGTGTCCATTCTCTGGATGGGGGTTCTCGTACACTAGAGCGAAAGAGAGAACGAGAATTGTGTGAGAGCACAGCAAAACTGGGCAAGGCAGCCGTCGATGGCGGCAGGGTTAGCACAGGTAGCGGTCCGCTCTACGCTGCTCAGCTCTCCTGCACTGCTGGCGCTGCTGGGTGTTTCTTGGGATGCTAGCCAGGATGAGAGACACTAAGACGGTAAAACGAGCCTCAGCTTACTCATGCTTCAGTGTGGAGGATGCTGATGGCTGATGAGAGAGCAGCAGCCAACGTCGGGCGTTAGTGGTGGGCTAAGTAGTCCGAGCCTTAGTTCGATGCGGTTCCCGAGGATGTGCGTGCTGATCAGACGTAGCGTATCCGTATCTTATGGACAAGTGGATTGCCATGTAAGAGATGCCCATTGGGAGGGGAAACGGGGGAGTCAATACGGAGTATCGTATATGTCTGGGACAAACTGGGCAAAGACGTGTGCTGGACTCTGCGTTTTCCTCATTCGTTATTCGAGAATGAACATGTGAGAACCTAATTCGAGATGATTGCCCAACGTGTCCTGGAGAGGAGAAGCAGTGGGCCTTGGAGTATATGCTTCCTGAATGGTGCTCTCGTACATTCAAGTGCCAAGGTCCAGAAGTAATTGACTCTCCATGTTGAATCAGTTGTGTCAATGCAATCTGAGTGAGTGTTAATTAATGGGTGAGAGGTGAGAGAGGATGTTGATGGCAAAAGGAAGGTTGAGGTACAGAAGGTACGTACTGTTGCCCCCCGGCAAGTTCAGCCCCGATTGCCCGGGATGGACCCACACTGCAGGCTCCAGGATTCATCTGGCCAATGACTTTCTCGGCAAATATGGGGCCAGCCGAAACGAGCGAGACAAGCGAGGCAAGCGAGTCCCAAAGGCGCTCCTCCTCCTTCAGGCAGCAGCATTTCCAGCCAGCCAGCAATCGGCAGGAGCGACACAGCAAGCAGCCCGCGCGCACCTTCCGTCGCAGTGCAGCGCATCGCAATCGAATGCCGCACATTTTCCCACGACACAATTGGCGGGGGGCCCCAATTCCTCATCTCATCAACATCCACCCGACGGCATCGCCATCACCAACATTAAGCCACAATCTGAACCACTGTCCAGCCCAGTCAATCCATCCAGTCTCCGCCTCTCAGTACCTTACTCCGTACCGGTATCCCATTCGCCGTCCCTCCTCCTAAGCAGGCAGTGACAGGGTCCGTCCGTACGGTGTACGGAGTACGGACAGTGTGGACGGATACCTGATGGGATTATCGACAGGAAAGGGTAAAGACCGTCCGTACCTAAACTGTGGTCTGTAGGCACCGAAATAATTCAATCCTTCTTCCCGCCGTCTCGGGTCTCTGCTTGGCTTAGGTTGGATCTTTGGTCGCACCTGGTCCCTCCCCTACCATACCTTAGCACCCCTCGGCCTCCATCCACTCGCTGGCGCCCATATTCTACGTGCCTACGGAGTACGTTCTTGGACTTCCTTGATGACCACGACGGGGCCCACGAGTGTTGGTTGCAATCTTCTTCCCTCTTTTTACTTTCTTGCCTCGCACTTGTTTGCTTGCTTGCTTGCTTGCTTCCCTTCACTTCATCAACAAGGCGGGCCATCTCACGAATATTCCAAACCAACAAGCCAAAACGAGTGTTGGAACCATCTATTATTATCACATCACTCACATACATACTTACGCAAGCATCTCTAGCCGCGTAATCGCTCACTTCAGCTTCTCTGCGCTGCGGACTGCGGTATACGTACCCCCGTCCACGTCTAGCGACCACTCACAGTCGCACTTCACCCGCCAACTGAGCCCCGCCGCCCGCACAACCTGGCTCATCCGCTTCCGATATTCACAACGCCGACCCCGAGTCCCGACTTCTCATCACCACCTCCGGTCCTTGCTTAGAGCCGCCTTGCCAACACAATCCCCGATTATGTTACTGTGAAGAGCTTCTCATAGACGTGTTATCTAATTCTCACGAGCTGCGCTCACTTGCTCTGGCTTCGACTCCCTCACATCTCACCCCCGCCTCGCTGGTGAGGGGCTCACCTCTTTGTCCTTAACCTGCACAGTGTTTCAATCGCCAACATGGAAGGCATTCGTTCCACTGGCGGCTACATGCAGCGGCGCCTGAGTCGTCTGTATAATGACACAAAGAAGTCTTCAGACTTTGTTCAGGAACCAGTCAAGGCCCCCGAGGACCCTGAAATCAAGTCGCTGTTCAGAAAGCTCCGCATCCAAAAGGACCGCGTATCGACATGGGGTATCGAGTGGACAGATCCTAACCAGTCGGATGAGATTGATAGCTCACTATCAAAAGCCGGCCTGAGTGAGGTTGTTCACAGCATCCTCTCGACTGTTCGAGAGACGCTATCAGAATTGGATGCGCTATGGAAGAGCTACACCAACCCGCTAGGCACCGTCTCAGAAAAGTCGGCAGATCGCAAGACCGCCTTTGTAACTTGGGACAAGGCAGTATTCGCAGATGCCATTGGAGACCTCACTCAGTCCGTCGACACACTTTACGACCTTTCTAGAACACGCTCCTCTGCCCAGATGTCGTCGCGTTCCAAGCTTGAAAAGTCCATGGCTTCCACTGAGGAGCTGCGGCCTTTTGAGTCCACCAGGATGCAGACGCCTCAAGAAATCGACCCGACCACATTAACAAACATTCGGTCCATGCAGGCGGAGCCCATGACAGAGTCGAAGGTTAACCTTCCTCCACGCGATATTGTCTTCATGAGCAAGCAGGCCTGGTCGGATCTATCGCAACACATTGGTCGCCAACCCTTTGCGCCGCTCTTGTTGGAGTTTGCAACGTTCGACTCCATGTACGCCATCACGGGAATCATGCCTCCCATGTCACGCTTTGAGAAGCTGTCGGCCGGCTTGCAGCAGGACTCGCAGAGGGCCCCGGGTACTTGGATCGGTCTGCCGAGACTGCTGGGTTATTTCGAGGATTTGGAGCACGCCCGCCTTGGACTCGTCTATCACTTCCCGCCCAACTTCAACGCCGTCTCTTTTGAAAACTTTACGCAAAATCCTCTCTACAATGTTTGCACGCTCGCCGATCTGTTGTCGCGACCAGACTTTGAGCCGACCTTGGAGGCCAAGTATCGCTTGGCTTCCAATCTCGTCAACACCGTATTCGACTTGCACGCCCGAGGCATTACCCACGGCTGCATAATCGACAAGAACGTATCTTTCTGCAACATGTCTACGCCCGACTTGACCACGGGTCCCGGCGAGGTGGACATTCGTCGGCCTCTCATCTCATCCTTTGATCTGTTTCCAGATGCTCCATCAGATGATGAACCAGTCTCGCCATCGCTGCCCCTTTTTCGACACCCTCTGGACCCTCGCACCACCCCAGCATCACCCATCAACGACAAGATGGACTCTCGTATCCTCGATCTGTACTCTCTCGCCATGGTTCTGTTGTCTATCGGTCTTTGGACGAAGCTCGATAACCTCGTGCCCGATCCGAATCAGCCAATTCCTGAGTCAGTATTGAACCAGCTAGGAATTCGTTGCTCTACCCTTTACAAGAGGGCTGTAGAGACCTGCTGGACGGCGGTTGATATGTCGCTTCAAGGGAATACCTCTGACGAGGAGCTTCTCTCGGCCGTGCAGGTCAGCGTGACGCGCTACCTAGACTCGTGCGCCATTCTAGACAACATTAGTTCTCTTGAAGACCGCCTCAACCTCGACCTTGGGAAGAAGACTTCCGTGTCCCCTATCGGCACGCCCACTCGTCAGAGCATCTCAGGGCCCTCAAAGGAGGCCAAGGTGGTGGCGACCCGACCGTCCGTCGACACTCGGGGCTCCTCGGTTGATACCAAGACGCCCATTTCGGAACCCAGCTCCGCGCGCCGTTCATACCCCTCTGCTGCAGATGAGAAGCGGCAGCTTGCCAGGCAAGAGGTTCAAAGTAAGTACTACATCGCGGATTGCATCTTGCGGCCACTAACAACATTCACAGCCGGCCCAGTGGAGCTCCCTGCGGAGTCAAAGCCTGCCAAAGCACCGTCTCCCAAAACCCGTCTCTACCCGCAGATTCCCTTGCCTCCCGATGCTGTGGAGAAGTGGAACACACTTGTGATGCCTCAAGTCAACCAAGCACTGCGCCACTTTTACCGCAAAAACCGCGAGGAGTCGGTCGAAGTTTCGCTCGAGTCCATCGGCAGTTCGCCAACAAGAACACAGCCGACGGTTCTGGTTGTGTGCACGTCTGTCAGCAAAGTCAAGGCCATCCTGACGCGCAAGTTGGGCGAGCTTTTCGAGGGCAAGTCTGGGTTCGGGTTGAAGGTTTGCAAGGGACAGGTCCTGAGGTCACGAAAGCAAGGCGGCGACCCCAAACGAAGCGCAGCACAGGAAGAGGACGATGATGACGACGCAGTCAAGGCAGCCAACCCTGATTTTCAGGCGCGCCCAAGCAATGGCGCAAGTATCGGAGCTTGGGTGGGGGACCGCCACCTGCCGCCCGTTAGCTTGGGCGGCCTTGTTCTAGTCGACGACAAGCCGTATGGGATGACGGTCCATCACATGCTGGACGATCCCGAGGAGATTTACAAGCATACGAAAGCCCAGGATCCGACCATGCGTAGTATGGCGAGAGATGCTGAAGACGTGCGTTTCGACTGGTACGCAGAGTCGTCGGCAGAAAGCAGCGGCGGAGAAGACTACGCTTGCGAGTTTTCGGAATCAGAGGAGTCCGTAGCGTATTCGGAGACGGACGTTACTAGCGATGCGTCAGATGAGGAGGATAGTGGTGACGAGTCGGAAGGCGAATATGACCAGCCCGGCGATATTCCTGGTGTTGAGCCGGGCTGTGGCGACGGATACATCATCACGCAGCCCGCCATGGACGACGTCGACGAGGAGTTTTATGCTTCAGCAGAGACAGCAAACGAAGATCATTTGGACAGCTTTACCGTTGGCGAGGTTTACGCATCGAGCGGCATCAAAAGGAGGGAGCAGAACGGACTGATCCACGAGATTGACTGGGCCCTTTTCGAATTCGCCGAGGAGAGACTACCCGAGGACAACTCGATACCCAGAATCCAGAGCAAGCAGCTGTCGCCTTCGTACGGGAAATTCCCATCAAAGCAGGGGAAGGTTATGCACCCCATGACCGTTGCGCCTACCACAGCGCTGCCTGGCCTGGAAGTGCAGTGCATGGCGCGTACCAGCGGCCTGCAGACGGGTCTCATTCTGCCCGCCCTAACGAGCGTCAAGATCTTTGGGCGGACGACGCCTAGCCACACGTACCAGGTCAGCAGTGCCGCTACCGAGACGCCTGCCGAGTTGACTGGCGGTGGCAAGAGGCAACCCATGGGTATCCCTGGAGACAGCGGCGCTTGGGTTGTGGAGCGCGCCCACGGGCGAGTTTGCGGGCACGTCTTGGCGTGGAGCGGGCGGAAGCGCGTTGCGTATATTTGCCCGATGGACGTCTTGCTTCTGGATATTGCGGAGGCTCTTGAGGCACGCGAAGTCGGTTTACCCGGCGGCGAGCCTGTTGTGAGTCTGAAAGGGCGGGACGAGGAGGACGAGGAAGAAGATGGGGGGACGTATAGAGACGACGAGCCTTCCTCATCTCCTTTTTTAGACCCCAAAGATGATGATGATTTGGATGTTGTTTCTGAAGAGGGAGACGATGACGAGCTGCCTGTTCTTGTTCGCTCACGCGCCCCTCCACGAGGACGCGGTACGAAGAAGGAAGAAGGCCAACAACGCCACGACCAAGACCAGAAGCAGGAGGAAATGGGCCATGAGCAAGAGAAGAAAAAGCAGGATGGCACATCGCAGGAGCGGGAAAAGTTTTCATCGGGCGAGAATCATGATTTATCACGCAGGATGGAGTCTATGGGCATTGGCAGGAGTCGCATGGGCGTCGGCATGTGTAGCTGACTGGCTGAGGGCCTCGGGGTGCGTCCCGCACCCTGTATTCGGAATACCCCATTTGGATTTTTTTGAGTAAGGTAGATTATGTAGCATTAATGAAGCATGAAGCGAAGTCATTACAACATTGATCTTTTCGTCTCTTTGTGTCATGGCATTAATGTGAATAGGCAGGACGAGTAGTCTGGTCTTAGCAGTGGAAGCTTATTGAGAATGGGAGAAGCAGACAATGAGGCTGAATAGCATTAACAATGGAAGAAAAGCTTCCCGCTGTGAGAGGAAAATGCAAGACAGACAGATAGAGAGAAGACTACATGAAGTCGTCCTCCCAGTTCTCGTCGCGGTTCTGGTTGCTCGTGGCCTCCATGTTCTCTTCCGTAAAGATGTCATCATACGCGTGGTCCTTTTGCCACTTCTTCTCCTTGCGCTCCTGCATGACGCGGGCCTCTTCTCGTTTCTACACCTTGTTAGCATCCATCTCTCGAGAGTTACATGGTTGTGCAAGAGAGTCGGATAGAGAACTCACCCTCTCAAGAGTAGAAGCCTGATCCCTCTTCCTCAACACCTTCAACCGATCATCCCTCTCCTGCTGCAGATCCGGCTTCTTCTCGACCTTGGTCTTGTTGAGCCTGTTCACGATGGGATTCTCGCGCTGCGCGACGAGCACCTTTTTCACTTTCCGCGGGTCCTTGAAGGAGACCTGGCCGACGGCCATGCTGCCGTCCTTTTTGAGGTTGGACCAGGGGGTGTAGATGATTGTGATGTTGTCCTTTTTGTTGCCCTCGATGGAGTTTGCTTTTGTGAGCTGGGCGAGGTCGGTGAGGAGGGGTTCGGGGATGGCGTCCCATGTCATGGGCGTTGTTGTGGAGGGGTCCTTTGGGTCCGGGAGGCGGAGGTAGATGTGGGCTGAGGAGAGTTTGTCTACGTGGAACTTTTGGGGGTTAGTGAGGGGTGTTGAGTGAGAGTCAGTGATGAGTGATGAGGGTTGTGAGATGAGATTTTGCGTACCCTGTGAGAGGTTAGTGAGTGAGCAGTGATGGAGGGATGAGTGGACTTACCAGACGTCTTCCTCCCAGCCGTACTTGATCAACTCCTCGTCTATGTCACTTCGTTAGTCTTTCCCCGTTTCTTTCACTTCCATCTCCCATAAAGGTGCAGGCGGATGCAGTCCCCGCCTCATCTACACATAACCGGAGAAACGCACTCTCAAACTTGTCCTTGCCGACGTAGATGAAGGCGGCCGGGTCGACCGCCTTGGAGGTGAAGTAATAGACCATTTCGCCGGGACTCCTTCTCAGTCGGTAGATAGGCTCCCTTCGTGTCTTCAGTCGGTATTGATAAGTAAGTGAGGTTTGGGCGGTGAATAACCCCTTGGACTCGTTTGCGCGACGGGATATTTGGCGGGGTTGCGATTTGCGACTGCAAAGGAGAGAATTTCGAGGTGGGGGTGGGTCCGGGTCGAGGTACTTTATTCTTAGCAGGCGACAGTCTCCTTTATCTGCGGTTCAAAGCATGGAAGGCGCGACATCTGTTAGTGTAGCGGTCAGTGGAGGAAACAATGACCATGTGAACTCAACTTGGGTAGTCAACGGGACGAAAGTGAGGCTCAGTCGGAGCTGCTGCTGCCTGTTCATGAATTTTCCTGAAATCCAAGTACAATTCTTTTCCCTCTCTCTAAACATCATTCTGGTTCCGCCCTTGCAACTGCTGCTGCTGTTTGTACTCTACTTTGCGTCTATTCCGGCCCTTTCGCCCACAGTTGGAGTGTGGTACAGCGATCTGCGCTCAGACAACCGCGCCGTCAGCAAATCCTTTGTCGCGCCACGCCGTGCCACCAAGGCAAGCAAGTTTGAACTCTAGCCAAAGTTTCTTTCCGTGGCACCTCTCAGCCTCGTTTTATCGTTTCGCAGTGGTTTTCTGCTATTTTGTTTACATCGTCAATTTTGAAGATACCTCTCCACAACACAACAACGATCGCGTCCACGTCCCCGACCTCGCTACATATTCTCTACTCACGAGCAAGGACAGCAAGCCTTGTTGGCTAAGTGGTATAGCGTCTCACTAGTACCTAGTGACATGAGAAGATCGGCGGTTCGATTCCGCCACGAGGCAGTAACACATATGCTAGATTTTTTGCATTTTGTTTGTAGAAAAGAAGAGCATGAGACTTTGGAATACATGGACGTGGTAACTGTCTGTCGATCTCACTGTTTTAGTTTATGAGGAAATAGGGAAGAATGCTTGGAGTTCCCTGGCAGGTCAACTCATCTTAGCCACGCGCGACGGTTTATCCACCCACCTTTGCCAATGCATTTGTCTCTTCGGACTTGTTTATCATTGCTTCTTCATTCAAGCGATCGACTCCGGGCAGCGTTGCTTCACCATCTCGTTTACCACAGCGCTCCCATGTGGAGCTCACAATGTGATCTCGTAAACGCTGACGCATACAGTCTGAGCATCCACAATAGAGGCGATCGCTTTGCTTTCGATACCGAGGACTGACCGCTGTTCGTCCGTGGTCTCAGTCCGGATCCGATTATTTCAGCATCATGGACGGGTCACAGTTGTAAGGGCAAGAGTTAGGAATGGCAAATCTCAGTATGGTAAGGCTGAGTTGAACAGGAATAACATTTTCACCGTAGACAAGGTGCAGCAGTATGTACCAGAAAGTCCGTCACGTCTCGTGGGCGACTTGCCTCTTGTGTACAGAGGATGAAGTTGATAAAGTCTCTTGTTCAGTACCTAGACCGGGCTCACTCCTCCCCTAGCTAAGCTTCAACCCAGCAAGTGATGTTTGTGGAAACCAACAACTCTCGTCAATAATCATGACTGGGCGATGATCTCACTTGTACCACAAAACGGTCGAATGAAGAGCATCTTTTTACCAATATCACAGATGAGTCCATCCGCATCACCCAATCATCTCGAAGGAACCTGATGCAGCTGTGGCTCGGTGAGAGAGAAGCTTGGGCCATCGAGGGGCATTGGAGGGGCACAGTGGTACGTATCTCGAACAGGCTGGAGTGGTCCCGCTTATTAGCCGATTAGGCATCATGTCATTGGCTAGGGGGCTGGAGCTTCTGCTCCTTTCTCCACCCTCCGGACCACAGCTCCGGAGTGCACGGCAGGCAAGCGGGCTGGTACCAGGGGCTCGCGGCTTCTTTGGGACACGGCAATGTCAACTCTGACATCAACATGGCGAAATGTCTACACTTCCTCCTACCTCTTCGCGGCACATCTGGCAGACGATTTACTGTAGTCCTGGTAGGCCAGCCTGACTCTGGAGAATGTCCCACCAATGGGAGAAGCAATTGGACGTCCGAAAGGTAAGCACTTCGAAGGGGCAGCAGTGGTTCTCGACTGACTGGTGTCACAAGATTGACGTCACGCAGGCCCTAATAAATGGGAATCTACGAGGAAACAGATCTGGGCGAATGGCCACCTCCAATAGTGAGGCTTGCTTTATAAAGGACGGGTTTTGTTCGGGGGTTGGCTCGCCCTCCTAAATTCTGATCTCTTTCCCTCCTCTCTCTCTCTCTCTCTCTCTCTCTCTCTCTCTCTCTCAACGAATACACGTGCCGTCTTTCTTCTCTTCCTTGAGCCATGTCCAGCATCGTCCCCGATACCCTCAAGAAAGCTGGCAACGTAATCATGGGCCAAGGAAACAAGAAGAACGCTCAGCTCGCTGAGAACATGGTCGAGGTCAACCCCAAGGCTCCCATGACCACCGACTTTGGCACAAAGATTGAGAACACGGATGACTGGCTGAGGGTCTCCAACAATGACAAGACCGGTCCCATGCTCTTGGAGGATGCCATTGCGAGAGAAAAGGTTCGTCTCGATCTCCTACGTCTAAATACAACCCATCATTAACACCCACGCAGATCCACCGCTTCGATCACGAGAGAATCCCAGAGCGAGTAGTCCACGCCAGAGGAGCAGGTGCCTTTGGAACCTTTAGACTATTCGAAAGCGCCGCAGACGTCTCCAATGCCGGCGTCTTGACCGACACATCCCGCGAGACGCCCGTCTTTCTCCGCTTCTCCACTGTCCTCGGTAGCAGAGGCAGTGCCGACACTGTTCGCGATGTCCGCGGTTTCGCTGTAAAGTTCTACACCGAGGAGGGTAACTGGGACATGGTTGGGAACAACATTCCCGTCTTCTTCATCCAGGATGCCATGAAGTTCCCCGACGTCATCCACGCTGGCAAGCCCGAGCCTCAACTCGAGTTCCCCCAGGCTCAGTCTGCCCACGACAACTTCTGGGATTTCCAGTACCTTCACACCGAGGCCACCCACATGTTTTGCTGGGCCATGTCTGACCGCACCATCCCTCGCTCATACAGAATGATGCAAGGCTTTGGTGTCAACACCTACACCCTCACCAACGACAAGGGCGAGCGGCACTTTGTCAAGTTCCACTTCACCCCTGAGCTTGGCGTTCACTCGCTCGTGTGGGATGAGGCACTAAAGCTGGCTGGTCAAGATCCTGATTTCCACCGCAAGGATCTTGCCGAGGCCATCGAGAATGGTGCTTTCCCCAAGTGGAAGTTCGGTATCCAGGTTCTACCCGAGTCCAAAGAGCACGACTTTGACTTTGACATCCTCGACGCCACAAAGGTCTGGCCCGAGGAGCAGATCCCCATTCGCTACATTGGCGAGCTGGAACTGAACAGGAACCCCGATGAGTACTTCACCCAGACCGAGCAGGTTGCCTTCTGCACCAGCCATGTCGTCCCCGGCATTGGCTTCTCCGACGATCCTCTTCTCCAGGGCCGCAACTTTTCTTACTTTGATACCCAAATCACACGCCTTGGCATCAACTGGCAGGAATTGCCCATCAACAAGCCGGTATGCCCTGTCATGAACTTCAACCGCGATGGCGCACACCGCCAAACCATTACAAAGGGCAACGTCAATTATTGGCCCAATCGCCACGAGGCCGTTCCTCCGGCAAACCACTCCAAGATTACCGGCGCCTACGTTGACTTTGCCCAAAAGGTGGAGGGAATGAAGCAGCGCACCAAGAGCGCCAAGTTCAAGGACCACTTCAGCCAAGCCCAGCTCTTCTTCAACAGTCTGTCGCCAATCGAAAAGACGCACGCCATCAACGCATTCGCCTTTGAGCTGGACCACTGCGAGGACCCCATTGTGTACGAACGCATGGCCCAGCGTCTTGCTGACATCGATCTGGGTTTGGCTCAGGCTGTTGCCGAGATGGTCGGCGCGACATCGCCTGAGAAGGCGAGCACACCCAACCACGGAAAGAAGGCCAAGGGTCTCAGCCAGCTAGAGTTTGAGCCCGAGACACCCACCATCAAGTCGCGTCGCATCGCAATAATCATCGCCGACGGTTTCGATCCTGTCGCGTTTGGTGCTATCAAGGGTGCTGCCGCGGCAGCTCAGGCTACGCCAATGATCATTGGCACCCGCCGCTCCGAGATCTTCCCTGCCGGCACATCCAAGACGGCTGGAAACGGTGTCGTTCCTCATCACCACCTCGAAGGCTTCCGATCGACCATGGTCGATGCCATCTTCGTGCCGGGTGGTGAAGATTCCATCAAGACTCTTTCCAAGAACGGCAGGGCTGTCCACTGGATTCGCGAGGCTTTTGGTCACTTGAAGGCCATCGCTGCCACTGGCGAGGCCGTTGACTTCATCCAGACTGCCATATCTCTTCCCGAGGTTTCCTTGTCTAGCGATAGCAATGTTGCAGAAAGTTACGGCGTTGTCACGATGAAGTCGGTCCAGCCTGAGAGCCTGAGGGAGACTGTCGAAATCGTCAAGAATAGCAAGGGGTTCTTGGAGCAATTCTTTTACACCATTGCTCAGCACCGCGTGTGGGCGCGTGAGCTTGATGGACTCAGCACTCAGCTGGCATACTGATCCGATGATTGACGATACGAACGGGAAATGGCGTTATACATAATGATTGTGTCTTATGAATAATTGATGATGACGTTTATCTTGCAAGCCCCTGCAGTTCCGTGATCTGACTTGAGTCTGCGAGCCAGAGTAATCGAATAGGCTGCATTACTTTCATCAGGTAAGAGATGTGTTATTATGAAGGCCAACGCCAGCGTCATATACACCAGACAAGCTTCATTATGACCTCACGAATACTTTAGGTAACGGGCTGTATTAACGTATATTCCTTTCTACTCAATACTCCTACCACAACGCCAGCCAGCTTACGTGCTAGCAGCAGCCGTCGTCGTCACCGGAGCCGCAGTCGTAGCAGCAGCCGTCGTCGCCGCGACTGTCGTCCCACTCGCCGACGAGCTCCCGCTTCCCGACGCGCCACCCTTAACCACAGTCGCCCTCACAACCTGACCGAGCGTATTGAAGACGATATTCACCAACGAACTAAGCGGCTCGTACGAGTACGTCTTCTGCGTCAGCCCGTTACCGAGATCCTGCTGGGAACCCGTAAAGGTCATGTTCTGCTGGTAGTTGCCAATGATGGAGCTCAGGGCGGTGGCGCCCGCGTTGGTGACCTCTTGCACAATGTTTCCCAGGTTGTCAATCAAGAAGTTAATCTTGGAGTCGCCGTTGACGATGGAACCCAGAAGCCCGTCCACGGCACCAATGACGTCGTCGACGACATCGCCAACGGTGTCGAGGAGGTTGATGAGCAGGGGGTTCAGATCCAGCGAGGCGAGCGTGCGGTTGACGATGTCGACGAGGTTACCGAGGCGGATAACGAGCTCGAGCTCGGCTTCGACGTCGACGATGGTGATGTTTACCTTTTCGATGCCGACTTGGACGCCCGCGTTGATGGTGACGAGCTTGGCGACCTCGGCGGCGAGGTTCACTTCGGCGGAGAGGTTGTCTACGTCGAGCTCGATGCGGCCGACGGAGAGCTCGGGGACTTTGAGGTAGACGTCTGCTGGTGGGGTTGTGGTGCTGCTTCCTGCGGCGGTTGTGGTCCCGCTGCCGCTGCCGCCACCGGCGTTGCCTCCGGAGTTTGCGGCGGTGGATGTCGGGGTCGTTGGTGTTCCTGAAGCCTCTGGCGTTCCGGAGGGTTGTTCTGCTGCCACGGAGGTGGTTGCTTCTGCGGTGTCTGTCGCGGTGGGGGTTTGTGCTGCGACGAGGGCGACGAAGAGCGCCAGCAGGAGGGAGATGATGGAGGTCCTCATTTTGGGTGATTATAAAGGTGATGGGCTTTGGCAAAGGAATGTGTTGGGTTGGAGTGGTCTGGGTCAAAGGAGTGGACGAGGAGCACCAGGTGAGCGAGACTGGGAACGCTGGTGAGCTGTGGGAGGGGACGAGGTCGCGATGGGAGGGCTTGCTGGGGGGATATAAGGCGGCATCGTGGGAGGAGGAGATGGAGGTTGACAATTTACCTCGTCCTGTCCCAGTATTAGACCTCCCCCTCCCCTTCCATCCCTGCTCAACGCGGAGTCTACATGACTACATGTAGGTACGTAGGTAGAGTGTCATGGGTTGAGGCCCATCATCCATGTCACTTACACACACATGGGATGGAGCATCCGCACTGGTGTAATGGGGCCGTTGGTCTCCATATCTAGGGCGGATATGGGCAGCGGTCCCGGAGAGGCGGTGCCCACACCTCCTTTTGTCCCATGGAGTTCCATTCCCACGGCAGTCGAACATCTCGATGCTCATAGGGGGGAAAGGGCAGTGCTGATTTGTGAGACAAGGTGACAAGCTGCAAGCCACCGGGCCGAAGGGCTGCATGTGGACAGGCATGTTCAGAAAAACCTTGGAATATTCCATGTCTGTGTGGCTCCCCCGGGTTCAGATGGACCATGGATCGATGGGAACATTTGTGAGATTGCCCTCTTGTACCATTTGGTGATTTGACCTCTCGGCTCATACTCCATCCTATCATGCCTTGAGCCCACGAGCGTTGGCGATGTTGCATCGTGCGCGAAATAAAAGTGACAGCACTGCGTCACTTGACGGGGGGAAGATGGCAGACCAGTCGGGGGATTCGCTGGGCGACGGGGGCGCCGCGTGCGGAGGAGGCTTCCGAGGACGCGAGACCTGGTCCTCTTGAATGTGGATAGGAGAAAGAAACTCACCTTGTCAGCTGTCTCCTAGGATCTTGTGTTGAAAGGGGAGGGGTTATTGAGTTAATGTGCGCTCTTGATGCAGTGACAATCCCGAAGCCTGGCTCGTCATCGGATCTGGCACTCGCTGGATCCCCTCCCCCCCTCCTCCACATCCCTTCTCCTCCATTAGATGGACCATACTTGTATCGTTTGCTTCCCCGGCATCGTTGGATCTGCAGCCCTTTGCTCTCGTCCGCGGCCCCTTCACTCCCTTCGTCTTTCCAGCTCCAAATTGGCCTGCAGCGCCAACATAGTCAATCCTTTGCATACCAAGACAAGAAAGCCTCTTACACTCTCTTTTCACCATGAGCTTCTTCACCACTAGGGCGCTCGCCCTCCTCGCCCTCTCGACCCTGACCCTCGCTCAAGATGAGCCAAAGGGTGACGGCTATGTAGGCTACGAGCTCAACCGCCGCGGGGACAACGAATCTGCCGTCTACGAAACGGCTAACACGAAGACCGGTATCGACACGCTCAACCCGATCCCGGACGTGTACCTCAACGCGTCCGTATCAGTAGGCGAGATCAGCATCGAGGTGCAAAACATCACCGCCAAGGTGAACCTCGACGCCAAGGTCCTGAACCTGCTGCACTTCCAGGCCGGCGTGGACGCCAGCATCGACCGCGTCAAGCTGGGCATCTACAACGTCTCGGCCAAGGTCGAGCTCGAGGCGCGGCTGGAGAACGTGGTCAAGATGGTGGACGACGTGCTCACCAGCATCGACCTGAACCCCATCATCGCGACACTGGGCGACACCGTCAGCGACATCGTCAACAAGACCGTCGACGTCGTCACGGATCCCGTCGAGAGCAGCGCCGCCGCGTCCGCAGTAGCGAAGCGTGACCTCACGTTCCGGCTGGAGCACAACATCCTCTACTCGGTCAACGACTTCTCGGGCCGCACGCACACGAACCGCGTGCTGGCGCAGAACGGAAGCCTGTTTGACGTCTACCTCGACAACAGCGGCAACGAGAGCGGGCGCAAGGTGGTTGGGTTTTACAGCCGCGACATGACGTTTAGCGGGCACAACAAGACCATCTCGATTGACGGGCAGGTCAAGGAGTTTGAGCTGCAGTACGTGTATGCGCCGTATCCCGGCCTCGAGGCGTTTAGCAACATCTACCTGGATACCACGGGCAAGGTCGTGAGGACCAAGATTGTGGCTGAGGCGGAAGGAGGGGGCACCGCGACGATTAGCAACGATGGTGAGAGTAGTCTTTAGAGTCCCCCGGATGTAGCGATGCGGGATTTGGCAAGGCATTGGGCATAATGGAAATGAGAGTTAGGGACATGCGAGTTACCCATTGCTGTCAATCGAGATTTCGATCTTTTCCAATGACTGCCTATGACATGATGGTGAACCAATGCGATTGTGGACGTTGATTTGCCGTCTGAGATGGTGAGGCGTGCCAGTCTGGAAGCAGTCAGACCTCCGACGCCTGGATCGTTCGATTGGGACCGCTCCGGGGAGCCGCTTCTGGGACGGGGGCTCGTGGGACAGGGTGGGATATAAGAGGCGTGATATCGGCCGGGGTGACATTTTGGGAGCTGAAGAGGACAAGAGTTGGAGAGGTAAGTATTTTTTACGACTCTCAAGTCTCTTCTTCTGGAATGGAACGCGGTCAAAGCTGCGAGCGCTACAAATCAGATGGTAAACCAAGCGGTACCGAAAGTGTACTGTGTAGTTGCAGGCGATAAAGGGGAATGACGTTGTGACGTCGTTACGTTTGGATGATATGAACAATATGCTATTAGATCCAGTAATAGCAAAAACAGCCGCTTTCCATTATGCCCGAGCAACCATCGAGGAACAAATCCTCCGCAGACTGTAACGCTCAGAGTTTTCGGGCTGGGCCTTGTTGGAAAGGGCCGGACGGGAGATCTCGGCCCCCATTTGCCATTCTCTTCTTTTTGATGAACCTGGCGGAGAAACGCACGGCGCGCAATGAGGCCATGGACCCCCTCTTTTGTGAAGTTGCTTATGAAAGTTGTGAAGTTGAATGCGACTCTGTTGGCCACTTGGTTGCGACTCTTCTCCGCCGTGTTTGCCGGCAAGGCAAAATGTGGAAAGTGTCACTGTCAGAAACGGACTGCAGAGACCGGTACCGCAGCGTCGCACCCGTTGCTGGCCTGGACGATTCAATGTGCGGTCGACTGCAACCGCAACGCATTTTAGGAGCAATATCAAAGCCTCGTTGGATCGACTCATCAAACTCACTAGTGCTAGTGGTGTGGCTAGTGCCTGGTCGCCAACGGCTTTTATGGGAAATCTCGTTAACAAAGTCGCTTCGGGCTGCCGCTTAACTTTGAGCTGTTCTAACTTCCAACGGTTGACGCTAGCATCGCTGTGTGTCATTGCTCATCTTTTCTTCTCCTGGAAGATGGTGTGTGTGTGTGTGGCTGGGCCAACAGTGCCCCTCGTGCCCCTGAACAGCATGTGGATTTACTTTTAGCTGTACATCAGAGAGCCCACACGCTCCAGTTTACCTAAAATCTCGTTAGCATTCGAGCCACTGCAGGAACCAACTGTCAACGTGCCAACTTTGCCAACAAACTCTTCCTTGCCATGTTTGCTTGCTTGACCAACGGGGACAGCAGCGGATCAAGTTGAATGGTCCGGCTCTCTTGACTTGATCCGTCAGATCCCCGATGAACGAAGTAACTGCGGATATGGCACCTTACTCATAGACAAACTGGCCCACTGATCAAGCAGATTATAGCTCAGTATCCGCAAACTCCAAAGTGAGTTAAGTGGCCCATCCGTCGTCCCCATAGCGGCCTTTCCCCGAACTTTGATCGCGTGGTTCGTGGTCCCGTCTGCCCACGGCAATTGGGCCAAACCCAGATTTACGACGGGAGTCTAGGCCCTCTCCAGGCTCTATCCGCCTAGCGGAACGGCCTTTCCTGGACCTAGTCACGCTTGCCCATTGTTGGCAGATGCAGAAATCAAGGCACAGGAAATTTGGCATGTTTCATCCCTACCATTTTGAGGGGGGGGCAGATGGATCTGGATGAATGCCGTTTTCGTCTGGGTGCGTCTGACCCGGCCGTCGGCAATGCGGCATCCAGGGCGCATCTCATCCTCTTGTCCAAGTCGGGTGTGTGTGATGCGTCCTCTGTTATGCGATGCAACCCCGCGACGTGACGAGATGGCAAGAGGGAGAAGAAACTTTGGTACCGGGCAGTTATTATGCTTGATTATCATTAGCCAGAGCTAGCTGCCCCTATCCACGTTGCCGTGAGATGATCTGATGTTGGCAAGAGACGCGATCCTCTGTCGCTGTGTCACGGCATATCAGTAAACATAAACCAATACATCCATCCTTGGTTGGACTGCAATATTGCAACGTCCAATGTTTGTTCGCTGCACTGCCCGTTCCCATCATCTCATTTCGGGAAAAGTTAAGGGGGGAGCAACCATACGGATGAAGCCCGCCGATTGAGTTCCCGCTTGGCAACTCTCTTCTTTCTCCAATCTGTCGTCTATCAGATGGCATGCTTGCGAATCGCGATGTCGGGGTGGCCCACGTTATGGTGAATGTAACCTCCCATGGCCGATAACGCAGACCTGAGCTGAGGTGCACCATCCGTGCTGGTGATGGAGATGATTTTTTTCTGCCCAACACCCGCGAGTCGTGTGTGCGTTCGATGGAGAGGTAGACCGCCGGTATATTCAGCAAGATTTGAACCATGTCCTTGATGTGATATTTCCCTCACTTTTGAGTTTGCGATGCCAATATTGGATCCTCCCTGAAGTGGGATTACATGCAAGTTGCAACATCTAGCTATAGCTACGAACGGGCACCACTATCACACTGAAGTTAATGTCACACCATCTCTGGGGTACAAACTAGAAGTCACTGCATTCACTCAAAATCTCTTGTGTAGTTTTCACACCAACTTGTCCCAGAGTTGATATCTGTGTTTAGCTTGTCTTGACAACGACTGGAGGCGTTCACCGCGTTATTGGGTGACTTCGGACATGTTCCCACGCGCACTTACACTAGATGATGTATTGGAATCTTGGAACAGCCTCCCTTTAGTCGACTGCTACTCTAAG